TGCATATGAGACACCTCACAAGTCCGTGTCTCCCCCCTCTTCCTCTGCATGCGCGGCATCTAGGAAACTGATCGCTGCACTTGAAACACGAGTTACAATCATGGTCAAAGCAGTCTTCGCAGACTGACTTGCCGCAGCTTCGGCATGGATAGCGAGGTTCCCGATGCTGTGGATGCCCGGGCTCCTCATGATCACACCTGGCCCGGTTATCAGGGGCAGCGCCGGCAGCCCGAGCAATGGCCCTCGTTCTAGAGGGATCCCTGCCGAAGATGGGGGCTGATGGTGACGGTGGGGGTGGCCCTGAAGGAGGTGGAGGTGGAGGAGGCCTAGCCGAGCTGACGGTGCGAGCATCACGAGAGGGAGAATCTCTAGGAGCCCTTCCCTGGGTTAAGGGATCAGTGTCTCCAGATTTCTCCCATGGTCCCGTTCCGGCGGTCGAAGCAGCGCCAGCACTTGAAGGCCCGCAGGCAGCAAGAGGTTGCTCCCTCAACTCAGCGATCTGCATGTTGATCTCATTGACCCTCAGCACAAGCTTCATAAACTGCTCTTGCATGTCCCTCGGATTGGGGCCTAAGCTTTTGTCATGAAGGTCCTTGACGCATCTAGCAATACGGGACAATTGAAGCTTGAACTCCTCCTGTTTCTGTGAGTTCTCATTGAGAGCTCCGGACATCCTATCACTGAACTGCTTCAGGTCAGTCGCAGGAACGAGCTGCTGGATATACGTCTCGACGTTCCCACGGATGGTTCTTTCCCTTGAGATGGTTCCCTCAATGTCGATGACACTGCGAGAGTTCGCCTCAACTTCGTCCTTGATTTTCCGAACCTCAGCCTCAAGGGCCCCGATCTCAGAGAACCTAAGGAGCTGGACCTTGACGTTCTCAAGTGATTCGGCCTGCTCGCGAAGTTCAGCAGCGGATATGACGATCGAGTCAGACCTCTCATCATACATCTTGAAACGCTCATTCATCTCCTTCTCGCTTCGGGCGACCCACTCGTGGAAATCACGGAACTTGGCCTCGTGTTTTGAGAGAGTTCCGGCAACGGCAGAGAAAGATGATTCAACCTTCTTCTCGAAGGCGTCAACACGGTTATTGATCTTCTTGATCTCACCGACGCAAGCGTTGATATCATCCCTACATGAACGAATCTCAGTTCTGCATCCCTGGATTTCGGCCTTGCACCCCTTTACCTCGTTGTGGATCGCGAGAAGCAGTCGTTGAAGCTCAGATGCAACAGGATGGCCGCCACTTGTGGAAGCAGACGGAGCAGGACGACTATCAGCGTCATGATCTCCGCGCCTATTTTCTTCCCTGTCGGGAGTGCAGCCCGGAGTTCCAATTTGAAAGAATGCGGGGACGAGGGAGTTGTTGACCGGTTGATTTGAAGGAAGCCCTCCATGTCCAGGAGCAACAGTGCTAAGTCCAGGTCTCCGATTCCTGGGCGTAGAGTTAATCCCGTCATCAGTCTCCTTCTCAGACATCGGGGCATTGGAGCTGAGCCCAGACCCCGCAGAGTGGATAGGAACGTCAATAGGATCGTGATGAGCTGGGGGATTAGATCGCAATCGCAAAGCAGCTTCACGTCTCTCGGGTGACTCAGAGCTCCTCTTTGTGGCTCGTGAGTCAGTGCCGGTTTGTCCCGACATGTTATCAAAAGATGACGACCCGCGAAGTTGAGCTTGATCTGGATCAGGTTGAGTGAGATCAAGCCGTTGAGCAACGTCACCAATGAGTGGCTTAGGGGAAAGTACTTTGGCAACGCGGCTCGGCGGGAGCGATGTCGTTCGTCTCTCTGGTGTGACCTCGGCCTCATCGATTACATCAAGGATCCCAGGGATGGTTTCATCATCTTCATTTCCTCTCCTGGGTGGCTGATGGAAGGGGATGTCGAGGAGGTCGAAGGGAGTAGAGCCAATACCAGGTGTATCCTGCTCGGATCCATCACTGGTACGGTGGCTGGACTGCTCTTCGAGGTCGATGACGTCGGGGGCGGACTCTTTTCGAGTCTGACGCCGATTGAACGCCGCGAATAGACCGGCATGGCTTCTTGATGAAGTGGAGGAAGGATTTGGGCCTGCTGTTTCGCGGCCCGCGTCCGATCGATTAGTACCTGATGCCCGATTTGGCGGATTTGAGCCCGCGTTGTAGCGGTTCGCATCCCGACCTCGGGTACCTGAGGAAAGCGGTGGATTCGGACCAGCGTTGTAGCGGTCCGCATTCCGGTCGCGGGTACCTGACAGGTGAGATGATACTGCGTCAGGGATAAAGTCCATATCCGCCGGACTGGGGTGATCGTGAATGATGTCAATGTCGGATGAACCTGAGACGGGAGGAAGGCCAGCTATTTGCGGCCAATCCTCAATCGCCCGTTTGCCCACCTCGGGTTGGGCCGAACCTGCAACATGAGAGGGGGAGAAATCTTCAATGGGGTCATTTTCTCCATCATGAGGAAAACCCTGAGTAGGCTCATGTGTAGGCAGGGCATCAAAAGATCTGTCAATTCGGGAAGGCTGCGACCTCCAATCAGCATCAAAAAGGGATTGAAAATCCAGATTCCCAACCGATATGGGGGCACCCGAGTTGAAGTCGAGCCGACCGAAATCAGGCGGTGTAGCCTGCGATCCACTGCCGAGGAGCTGGTCAAACTGATCCCATGTAAGGGACCATGATTGAGCCGGCTCCGGATGAGCAGCATGATGGACAGCCCGGTCCTCGATCTGGAGCGCCACGAACGGAACAGTAGGTGAAATCGATGAGGGCACCTGATTTGGAGGAACCTCAGCCTCTTCTAGAGGGGGTCCGTCCTCGATCTGAAGCACTGCCGCCGGGATAGGGGTCTCCGCATCCTCATCAAACACGACCTGAGAAAGGATCCAATCGTCCGTGATCACCCCGGGATTGGGCTCTGCGCCCACCATCGGGGGAATGGGCCACAGCCGGCTGTCTAAGCCGGGGGCAGCAGGCGCGGCGTTGCCGCGAAGGGCGTTGGCCTCGTCGTCCACGAAGCCCGGCCCACGATGAGAAGCTCCGGGGGACGCCATTGCTCGTACAAGTAGGCGATGGGAGCAGGTAGCGGGTCACGTCCCGCAACCGGATCACCAGCCCCAGCTTCTAGCTGGTACGGCTGATAACCTGCGGTTTTGGGCGAACACGAAGTAGCCCAGGGAAGCAAATGAGCACAAGGTAGATCACAATGTACCCAAAGCACCCGGAAACACAACTCGGGTGAAGCTGTGGATGATGACCGGGTTGAGGATGTGACGGTGGAAAAAGACGGTGTTTGGGGAGGTTGGGAAATAGGTTGCAAAAGTAGAGAAGTCAATCAAGCCCAGGATGACCTCGACGACCGACCACCTACCTCCTAACACCGGCGCCCCGCAGCCCCACGGTTTTCACCTCGGGGACGAAGAGTGCCGCCGTGTTATGGCGGGTGCACGTGGGTCCGAGATTGCCCTGACGGGAGGTTGAAATCTTGAGCCAAACGGCCATTCGGCCGCTTGAGCCACATGATGAAACGACACGTGAACAAAACACAGAGGGGAACGGGTAGGGGTACAAAACCTCATGAATAGTGACCTCGGAGGAATAAAATCCCCGGAGGAAAAGTATAGGGAGAGTGTGGTGTTTGGGGAGTGGGGGCTATTTTACCAGGCTCTCTCAGCGCTCAAGTCCACCAGAATAATAAGTATAAGTATGGTTTGATTTTAGGGGAACGGGTAGGGGTACAAGCAAAAGCCTCTTGACTAGTGACTTCGGAGTAAACCCTTGACGAAAATATGGGGAGTGGTTGGTGTTTGGGCGAGTTACCCTTGGCGGGTTGGACTGGTGGTTTGGATTCGGACTTGAGCCCCTGGTTCTTGTGGAGTGTCACCAGATCGCAAGTCCAAACCGCCAAACAGAGGGAAGCTCACCTCAAAAACATTGGGAGGTAATGTTGATCCCAGGCACAAAAAGAAAACTTATGAAAATATGGGGGGTGCTCCAACATAAATCCCAGGGACACCAAACTGGGGTTGATCAGGGATCCTTACATTATACACCTGAACATTGCCTTGCAAATGGTGGTTTCCCTTTATTTTGGTGTTGAAAAAGCCATGTTTCAAATTGGCAAAATGAATTTCTTTTAAGCCATTCTTCGACACCACGAAAGTCACCCCTGAAGGTTGAAGGAAACCACCAAGCAGGTCCTCACTTTGACCCCCCGGAAATTATCATTTTGTGATGACCCCGGTTTTGTTTGCAGAGATGTGCTTTATGTCCCAATATCAACACATGGGTATGTCTTTTTTAAGGGCATCCTCCCAATGGCTTCGGTTGTCCTTTTGGTTTCCCTCCCAGGCGGTCAGAAGCTGGTCGGTGACTTTGACAATGGTAAAAGAACGGCGCCACTTAAAATCTAGCAACAAAAGGTCCTGTGCACCTATGCAACAGTGGTTTGTTGGTGCAATGACATGAACAAAATTCAATCGCTGCCCGTTTTAGGGGGGAACGAAAAGGACCCCCTTTTCTCCATGGCCATGAGAGGCGTCTCTTTGACGTCCCGTACTCCACTTGAGCGTCTACATGGGCTTTGAGTAAGCCAGGCAGGAATCGAACGTCCTAAAATGGCCCTTTGGGAGGTCGAGGGGGAGGGCTGCTCATTTCGAGTCAAGGTAAATGCAGCGTGCCAGTAAGCATCGCCAAGGTTTCAAACGTGACAAAAAAGTTGCACGCGCTGAAAACCAACACCAGCTGGGAACTGTAAGGCAGGGGTTGAAGGAGCCATCTATTTAATAAGCTAAATTGACAAGCCAAGTTGATAAGCCCCTAAGGCCTCATTAAGGCCCCCCCCCCTACTTGGTCATTCCAGGGTCAACATAATGTGTCTCTCCTCAGTCCCATGGACACAAATCGGGTCGATGTTGCAATGACCTTCCGTTCATATGGCTCTTTTTGGGTCCCCACGGCGCGTCCGTCTTCCCTTTGGTCTCGGTTTCCGATGAAATCTAAACGAGGCGCCATGCAGCCACTGCCCAGGCATCGATTGCAGTTCTCAGGGCAACTCTTGCAGAGGCCTCCCACCTGCGACGAGTTGGAACTGAAAAGAATGCCTCGTTGGCTTATATGCGGGCGTGTGCCAAGGTTTTTTGGAATGGGGAATCAGGGTACCCCCCTTTTCTGTGGCTTGACAGGGAAACCAAAAAGGAAAAACCAAAAAAAAAAAAAAAAAAAAAAAAAAAAAAAAAAAAAAAAGACACGGACCTTGTGCTTGAGGCTTCGGGTGGGTGGTGTGCGTTTCTGTTGTTGAATTGGTTTGCTTGCTTTGCTTTTCTTTTCTTTTGGGGCGGGGGGGGGTGGTCAAACATTGTGCAAGGGAAATTATCTACACAAAAGCGACGCGAGGTTTCTCCCCATAACAACCCTCATTGATACTCCCTGCCAGTAAGGAAGCAGTCCTGAAGAAGCTTTACTCGAGGAATCTCCTTTTCGGGGGTCGTTTTGGACTGCGCAGCCGTGTGAGTTGCAAGGTTCCATATCCGAAGTTGTTGCAATCACGTTCCGACCAGGCCTTTGGGAATCGCCTTTTCAAGACGTTCGTCTTCCAAACCTCCGCCCACTTCCATTTGTTGGAACCTCATAGGAGGGTCCTGAAAGACCAGGTCCCTTTAAAAGGGACCTCCTGGTTCCATGTTAGTGGTTCGGGATATTCAAACTTTGGTTCTTCGAGACCTTCAAAGGTTCCCTCAAGCTTGGTGGGGAACCCTGCCCCCCCTAATCTGAAGCTGACACACGACGTGCCAGCCTCCACTCTTTGCATCCCGCCGTCTCTGCGCACCAACTCAACTACCCAACGGCGAAGGTTTTCTCATCGCTCCGAATTGGTACAAGGGTAATCTGGGTCCGGGATGTCACCCCGTCCGCGCACGAATCTGGGCAACCCAAATGGCCGCTTTGCAGGCTGACTTGGACGATAGGCTGAAAAACCCCCAACGCAAGACCCAAGAATCCTGAGACACGACCCAAGCCCGAGACCCGACCAGAGACCGACCCAAAGCCCCAGAGACCGACCCAAAGAATCCCGAACGACATCCCCGAACGACATCCTGAGAGATCCGACCAACCCAAAGAATCCCGCCAGACATGGCTGTAGGTCAGAAATAGGGTGACCCCAAAATGGCTTGTGGACTAAAACCCGCGGTCCGATTCCTGGTGACTAATTTTGACCCAAACCCACTTGGTTTTTGGGCCCGGGAACTTGAAAATGGGGGGTTGATCCATATTCCTCTCCCAAATGACCATGAATCAAGATTTTTCCCCATTTCCTGGTGGTTTAATCTCATTTTGACCCATACCCTCCAAAAAAACCGTCCTGGGACCTCCCCAAACGACCCCCCCAGAGACGGCCCCACGATCCGCGCCTTGAGGCCCCAGTAGTTATGCACGTCACGGCCCACCTCCATGTAATATCCTCCCAACGCAGCGAGCGACGGAAGAGCCACGCGAGCGGGGCGGGCGGGGCGGGCGTTTTTGCCGCAAGTTTTTGCCCCTGAAAGCTGAAAGCTTTTGACACCCTGGGTCCAATAGGGGAAAGCCGGGCAAAGGTTTTCAAGAAGTTGATGTGAGATCCGCTACCAAAGAGCCACAATGTGAGATCCGCTACCAAAGAGCCATACATGAGAGAAGAAGAAGGAGGAGGAAAGTGGAGCAAACGCTGCAGAAAAAAAGAGAGAGCTTGGCACCAAGAAGGTCCGAGAATAAAGAAAGTCCCAAAGTGTAAAATTCCCCCCTTGGGGCACAACCTACGGCATAACCCATTTTGGGGTGGACGAACCGATTTCGATGTTCACCAGGGGGGGTTCCTGGGTTTTGACACCCACAGCCAAACGAATCCACCAGTCATCGATCCGCCGCCCAGAAAGCGGCTTGTCTCAGCTTGGAGCCTGGTGGATTGGTGGTGCTGCGGGCTGGGAGCCACTTATCCTCTATCCGAATCCAAACCAATCCAATCCAAAACCATCAATCAAGGGCTACCAGCTTGGGTGGTGAAATGCCTGTGACTGGGAAAAGATCAAAAATAAGAAATAAAATACAAAGCCTTGAAGAAATGAGTCAGAATCAAAACCTGTACAAAAACGGTGAACCCAAAAACAATGCAAAGAGTTACCAAGGCGGCCGCACCTAGTTTTCCTTTATTATTTGAGCGACTTGCTCAAAACCCGGGTAAGTGAAGGAACCTTAAGGGACGCTCCTAACCCTCCGAGCTTTTCTTCGCTGCGAAGAGAAAACTAGGATGCCATGGCATTCTAAGAATTTCTCCTTAAGGCGTTTGCTTGCTTGGTGCTGCAAAACTTGCTGGTTCAATAGGCAGGGAATCAGACATGGAATGACCTCAAGAAAAATCATCACCTATGTGTCCCGTTAACGGGAATCCCCAGGTCCATTGCCAAAACCCGGAATGGTCATTCCCTACGGAGCACCAGCAAGAAAACGAGTCAAAACATCAAAACTACAAAAGGAGCCACTGCCAGACTGGCCCCAGAAAGTGCCGAAAGGTTGGATGCCGCATGGCCACCAACCAGGAGTTTAAAGGGGTTTTAGTCAACGGTACCAATTCGTAACGATCTAGTTCATATACTGAGGTGACTGAGACAAACTCCCAATAATCCGTGCGGTGAAAAAACAAAAAGCATGAGGATCGATTGAAGTGACTTCCAAATGGGGCCCATGGGCCGCACACGTCTCGTTGGCCAAAACAAACTGAAGGATTGCCTTTTCGTCTCATGCCTGGTGGCCATAGGAAGGGCAGCAAGAAATCATGTTTTAAAAGTTCAGTGGTTGGATGCCCCAAACCACAATAAGCAAAAATGTAAAAACTGCTTCCCAACAGCAGCCATGATTTCAGCTTGCCACTAATCGGTGGTTTGGATTGGTTGGGATGTTTTGGATTGGTGACCGGTTTCCTCATTTACCCTCTGCAAGAACCAGAGCTTCTGGGTTCAAAAACGGGATGCGTCTTGAGACCGCCGTGACTTTGTGCCGGCGAAACGGGCACCGCTTCGATCCCGCTGGGCGCCGAAAGCCCTCGACGTTTGGGGCGGGGGTTTTGGGGTTTGGAGCTTTTCCGGACTTGGGGTTTGCGACATGGACTTCGCCATGCACACTATGGCTAGGTCCTCCAGTAGTTTGAGAGCTTAGAATAGGAGTTGGTACCCGACTTTTGTTGCTGCTTTGTCTATTTTGGGATCGGGGAACCGAATCTCCCCCCAAAAGAGGGGGTGAGAGGTCGGGCACCAATTGCTGGGGGACCTTTGGAGCGTTCCCGGGAAACGTCGCTTCGAAAAGCAGCGCTCGTTCGGCCCGCGGTCCTTCAGGGCAGGAGGACTCGCAGGAGGCGTGGGAGGTCAGGAAGGTCCTTCAGGACTCGCGGAAAAAAAAAAAAAAAAAAAAAACATTGCAGAGCAACCCTGGGAACCGAACCCCTCCACCTCTTCCCCCACCCACCCAAAAAAGCAAAAAAAAAAAAAAACACAGAAAAAATGGACACACCCTTGGGCCGCGAAATCCGACTGGGGCCGTTTTGGACATCATTTAGGGGATTCATGTCCACCAACCACAGGTGAGGTTCCCTGTTAAAACTCGTAGCCCTGTTATGAGGGCTGTTCACAAAGAGTTCGGGTCTCAAATTGAAGTGTGCATAACCGTATCCGGCGGGTTTCCCCTTTTCAAGGGCGTCACAAATGCCGGGTCTTCCAAAGCCACGCACGACCCACCCTGGGGGGGGGATTCTTTCGCTCGAGTCGGGCGGCGGCGTCTTGCACTGGGTGCAGTTGTAGGGCCCGCTGCACTCCGAACAGGTCCCCAGGCACTCGATGCAGAACCGGCCTGCAGAGTCGAATCCGAGGTTCGTCAGTCGTCAGTCGTCGCCGGTCGAAAAACGAGTCGGGAGAGGGGGGGAGGTGAAATACAGGGAAAAGGAGAGCACACGGGAGGCGAGATGTCGAGAACCCATCCAGAATCTACATGTATATATATATATATATATATATTCAAAGGCGGGTTGGGCAATCCCAATCAGAAAACAAGGGGGTTGTAGCCCAACTAGTCAAAGGGGACTTCCGACCTTTTCCCTTTCATGTGCTGCTGACTCTTTGTGAGGGACGCGGGGGATGGCAACCGTCCCATGCCTTCATCCTCATCCGACCCGTCCGGGTAGTGCGTGGCCGGGCATTCCGGCAGGCACTCCTGCCAGCCCAATCAACAGAAACAGAGAGGTGAAGAACTTCCTTCCAAGAGCAGTTTCAGGTATGCCTAGATAGTGCTTTCTTCAGTCATTGTTGCTGGTTTTTGGGTGGTAAAAGTGAAGAGCTTCCTTTCAAAAAAAATGTTCAGGTATGGGTTTTGGACAGGGTTGTGAGGTCACAAGAGGTTTCTCCCCACTGTGATACTTTTGGGAATCTCCCCTTTTGGGGAGTTGGTCTTTGGGAAGCCTTTTTTGTTGTATCACAGAAGTCGTCATTTCCCACAGCCCTGGTTTTGCAGGTATGGGTGCTTGTATACCACCAACACAATAAGACGGTCTATGGCCCTTATACAAGCAGTATATAAACTCCATACCTCCCAAACCTATGCCTTGAAATGCCCTTGATCCTTGGGCAACACTCAATGTACATCCCACAATGACCGTAGACGACTGGTGAGTTTGACCGAACCTCATATCACGCACGTATGTTCATGAAGGGCATATAGCTGAGGCATGTACCCCAGGGGGCACATAGTTGCCCTCAGTTCAAAGGCAAAACATGACTCTCATCACAACGAAAGCAGCACTCCCAGCATACTAACCAGGAACTCCAACGGGTGTTCTCCAAATGAAGCTTCCCCATCCTCTCAAAACTATATTTATTGATTGATTCATTTCCTTATTGATTTATGAGTTTTTTGGTTGTGTTGTTTTATGTTGTTATTTTTTTGGAGGGGGGTTACATCTTGATCTGAATGAGAGTATGTGGGTAATCGCGCACAGTGCTGACCTTTGGACTGTAAAAAAAGGGAGCCCCCCCAAGGAAAAAGCGGGTCCGATTTTATGTTCAATCAATCCAGGATGGTCAAACTGACCACCAAGAAGCTAAACTGTTGATGGCAGGGAAGCGGTCGGAGACTGCGAAAAGTTGAAAAGGTCGTCCAGACTGACCCAGAAATCAAGAACCCGATTGATTTTCTTACACTCCGTTGCCAGAAGGAACAGACCAAACCGAAGATCCCTTCTGAAGAAAGAAAAGGTCCAGCAGCCTCCTGTCAGGTTGCATGGTGAAGCCTATCCCAGGGATTGGGTCCTTCTTGGGCATGCCTTTTCTTGCGGAAACCTTGCCCTCCGAAGGTTTCACTTTGGTCTCACATTCAAAAACACCACGACTCTGATATCCTCGCAAAAAGACAACCCCTCGAGTGTTTTAGGGTGGGGTGGTTGGAACATTTCCCGTGACCGGCCAGGTTTTGCCAGAAAGACCAAGGCTGTGACAGTCCAAGGGGGGGTCCTAGGCACCAGCCCAACCCGTAAAGCTTTGGATATCAGGAGCCGCAGGGTTTGGACACCAAGGACAGCTCACGACCGGATTGGCCAAGAAAACTCCGAACTTGTTGTGTACCACTGAACCGGTAACCCCCCAAACAGCCGAGAGGTCCCTGAGCTCAAGCACTGAGACAGCCTCCTTTTGGCTCCTCTTCAAAGTACCCTTGCGGCTGAAACCAATGGAGCCACAAATCTGATACGAAAGGGGTCTACCCAGTATCATGTAAAAAACCGAGGCGGATATCCGGACCTCGTTGTCGCTGGGACTGTCTCCTACTAACCCTCATCTGCCCAGGTTTGATTCTGTCACAACATGCTGCCATGATGCAACCGGGAGTGCAAGGTGCGTCAACGGACAAACAACTGCTTGAGCATGCCCAACAGAGCTACCAGCAAAAGGGTCCCAACTCATTTTGCCACAACCGTCTCACGTCAATTAGAGCCTTCCCTCCAATGCATGATGGGTTCTGTTAGGGCCCGAACTTTCTGCCATACCTCCAGTGGCCATTAACAGGCGTTCCCTTTGTCAGGCCATGGCTCTTGGAGGGGCACTCTCCCCTCCACCAAAAAGGAAAAAGGGCACCATGGAGGCCTGGCTTGTGCGCCTTGGGATGCGGAGCCACGCCCAGGATTTGAGTGGAACCCAGTGCAACCTCTTTGGGTTGCTCGGACCCATCAGAAACCAACCCCAAAAATATGCTTCCTTCCCTGCATGGAAAAAAGGGGATGCTGCTAGCTGACGATTTTATGGGGGACCAACAGGGTGGTCTCCACTGAAGAAGATTTCCCTTTGACCCACGCACCCCGCGCGCCTTCTTGTGAGTAAGGTAGGCCGAGTTCTTACCTCGGCGAGGGGATTGTGGCGGGGACTACAAAAACCTTGCAGGCCCAGAAAAAAGGTCCCAAGATCCAAATCCCCTCATATATCAACCTTGCTGCACTTCACCAACCTCAATTGAGCAGCGCCCAAAACCTGTTTACTTTTGGTTCCAACAACATGGCTAGAAAGGTTCATATAGGATTTACTATTTGCAGTATTAAACTAGGCAGTAGAACCACCTGCTAAAATAGCCACTGCTGGAATATGCGATTCCTCGGCAAATGACCTTCAAGTGCCCAATATTGGTCGTACCTCCAATTCAAAGCGCGAGCGCGCGAAGAAAACACATGGGTGTGGCTCAAAATTGAACAGCGGGGGTTACGCAGGTTTTGGTCCATGTTTCCACTTACCAGGGTTCCATTTTGGTACCGGTTTTTTGAGCCACAGCCACATCGTCCAGCATTCCTACAACTCGCCTTTCGGCTCGAGTTGCAACCCAACAGTCTCGAAGGATGGGCCATAAGTTGGGGTCGTTCTACCCTTGGGGCTTCGAGTTGATCGAAACAACCTTGTCAAAGCGTCTTTGGGGCGAAACGTCTTCGGGGGTCGAAACTCGGGGCGTTTTTGGCGGCACCTTGGACGGCAGCTTCGGGCTAGGACGGGTGCCATATGCGTCCATCTTATTTGAGGGTACCCTTTTTTGGTGGGTTTTGCGCTTTTTCAAAGGGAATCCGACCAAAAAAAAAGGAAGAAAAGGCGCCATTTTTGGCCCCTGAAAGGAGAGGAGCCACCCATTTTCTTGACACCCCCCCCTCTTTTCCTCTCGATCTTTGGTCCGGCCAAGCTGCACTTCGTGCACGAGTACCGGGTCTCGCAGGTGAGGCAATCCCCCAGGCACTTCTCACAGGTACGGCCGTCTGAAGATCCGTCTGGGGGGTGCCTGGAGAAAACGACGGGATTTTTGTGGCTGTGAGCCATCAAAACCCGGTAAATAAAATGGGCGTGGGTCAAAACCAGATGCCCTTTTTTGGGTGAATCCCTTGTGTTTGGTCAGTGTTTGAAGGGAATCTGGGGATTGGTGGGAGGGGGTGCCAAGGCTTTGACCCACAGCCAAATAGTCTACCCAAGCAATGAAAAGATCTACAAAGGCGGCACCAAATTCTGGAACGTCCCTACCTTCACTTACCCGGGTTTTGAGAAAATGGCTCAACTTAACATGTGCTCCCTCCTCCGAAAGTGGTCTGAACCCCCACTAAACGGGGACGCCCCCCAGAAGGACCAAGGACCATCTTCCCGTAGCTCGCCTTGTTGTGGCTCGAAATTAATGTTGGAATTCCTCAAAATTCCCCCCCATCCCCCCCCCCCGCAAAAAAGAAAAGAAAAGTGCAGCACTAAGAGGGCTCCCAAGAAGATTCCTCTGACCAACCGTGGCTCTTGGAGGTGCCATGTGGCCATGGGTCAAAACCCAAATCGTACCCCCACTGAACATCCCAATCCAACCACTAAAGTAGGTTCCAAAATGGGTGGTGAATTCACCGGGACCCCCAAAATGGGATCCCAAGACGGTGTAACGACCACCACAGCCAGGTGCCAACAAGGTGGACATTCTGAGTGTCCTTGTTGGGATCTGGATCCGGATAATTCGAGCAGCTTTGAGTGTTGTGGATTCCCATCGAGGCGTTCCATGGGGCGAAACTTTCACCCACTGAGAAACCCATTGACAAAGGGGTCCCGTATAAGAGGGCTCATTAGCCCCCAGAATATATGAGCCATAATCAAAACCCGGTATTCAAATGGTCGACCCGGAACCATGAAAAGAATGAAGAAGGCGGCCGCAGCTATTTATGGTTGGGATTGTCCCTTACTACCCTTCATCTACCCGGGTTTTGATTGTGGCTCAGATGGGGCTGGTGAATCGGGGGTCCCATAACAAAGGCCAACATCCCAGCAAACATCCGGAGCTTTCTCCATGTGTTGGTCGCAGTAGGTCCGTTTGGCCCTTCAAAGGAGCGGCTTTCAAAGGAAGCAACAAGATGGGAGGCGTCCATTTTCTGTGTTCCAGAAATAGGGGAATCTGCACAAACATTTGGGAACAATGGAAGCTTTGTTTATGTGGTTTAGGAAAACTTATGGGACCTCTCTGCTGACAGCGCTTGCTAGGCCAACCATTCAAAAAGGCGGTAGTGTAAACCGCATACGACAATTATTCAACAGGAAGCCATCCACAAGCGTTTTGGGGGATCATCACGCAAGTCCCAAGCAAAGCTTAGTAGCAACACAAATGCCACCCACACCCCACAAGAGTCTGCGAGAGGGTCGCTCTGTTCCCTCTGCCCTCCACTGATCCAGCCGTTGGTTTTGTCTGCCTGTCTGCCTGTGTCTGTCTGTCTGTCTGTCTGTCTGCCTGCCTGCCTGCCTGTCTGTCTGTGGCCGTGTGTCTCTGTGTGTCTCTGTGTGTCTCTGTGTGTCTCTGTGTGTCTCTGCGTGTCTCTGTGTATCTCTGTGATTCTATTTGTGTGCGGGTATGTGTTTCAAAGCTTGTTCTCCGGCAATACGTCGTGTTCAAAATCAATCCCTTCTTCAAACCACCCTTTGACTCCCCCTTCAACTCCCTCTTTAATAGACTTTACCCCCCTCCCAAAAAAACGTCCTCCAACCTCCCCCCCTTCCGCTCTGAACCCCCCGAAAAAAGCGCCGGGCCTGGGGTAGAAGCCCTCGGGGCAGGAGGGCTCACAGGTGAAGTCCTCCGTCAGATACGCGCCGTTGGTGCACTGTGTGCAGAAGGCAGAGGACTCGCAGGCGCTGCCTCGACTCATCGCACGCGCTGAAGCGACGTCAAAGCCACGGCCAAACCCGGTGACCCTTGGGTTGGATAGGAGGATCTACAAAGAAAGTAGGTGGTAGACTACGAAAAGAGCGAGCAAAGCACAGTGACATGCGGTTCTAGAAAGATGGTTATAAAGGTTCAAATGGGATAATCAGAAATAAAGCAGGTAGACTGCTACCTACTAAAAATGGTGTCTTCGGATCTCGGACGCTCACTGAAAAGCCCAGTGGTTGATTCCCCCTAGAGGGACCCCCGGCCTCGAGGGAGTCTTTAAAGTGGACCCCTGGGCCCCAGACGGCAGGTGTTAGTCTTTGGTTCCATTTACCAGGGTCCATTTTGGGGTTACCCTGTTTCTCACCCACAGCCATTTCTTTGGGCTCGTCTCATCTTATGTTTGGAGGCTACCCAAACATCAGCCAAGGTCTCAACAAAAATGCGGGGGTCCAAGGTCGGGGTCCAAGGTACAAGATGTGGGCATCCAAGTTTACAGGGATATCCTTTGCATAAGACATTCCCGTCCATCTTGGGTTTGGGGACAAAGGTGTAGCCGAGGGTTGGGATTCCGACTCAACCCCGGGTTGACATGTTGAAACCACAAGTGTCCTTTTGGTAAACTAGATAGGGTTCCCTGGCAAATGGTGAACCAGAACCCAATTTCTCGTCAACCCCCAAAAAAAGGACTCCTATGCTTGAAGCTACTCTCTCTTCGCTCCGCAGTCCCTTCCTCTCGGTGGTCCTGAAAGGCCAAGTTCGCCGGACCAGACCCGGACCCCCCAAAAACCAAACCCCTTCTGCGCTCTCGCCGCCCGTTTTTTTCCGGGCGGCAGTTGGTGGAGCAGGGCTGGCAGCTGCGCTTGGTTTCCGCGGTGCCCTGCTCGAAGAAACCCACGGGGCACCGCTCCTCGCAGAACATCTCCTCGGTGGACGCCGCTTGGTTTGGTCGGTCTCCCAGCCGTTTTTTTTGTTTCTTCTTCTTCTTCTTTTTGTTTAAAAGTGGATCTAGGGGTTGATTCCAGCCATTCTTTTAAACCATCATTCTTTCCAAAACCGGCCGTTTTCCCTGGGTGTCCGGAGGTTTTCTAGAAAGAAGGATCCCTGGAAGGAATGGGGAAGGTGCCCCTAGAATGGAACCTCCTCGGGACCCGGTCCCTTTAAAAGGAACATGGTCCAAACCAGGACCGATGCCCCGAAACGTCGAACGGTTCCGTGTGAAGAATGCGGGAGGGTAGTTGAGACCTCAAGCAGTGGAGCACCAGATTCAGGCTGAACTGGGAAGATGTCATTCATGCTTGAGAAAAGCACCCTGTTTGTGATGCCAGGGGTTCCTACCTGCATACTTTGACGGCGAACCAGTGGCTCGGCTGTCGAAAAATAATTTGGTGAACTAGCACGTAGAAATGGAGGTACTCCCCCCTGAAAAGTGATCCGGTTCGATGCAAACATTGGGCATGCCGCTATTCATCAAGCAGAGTGGTTGCTTGTCTGCCAAATCCTGGGTCAGAATTACATGGCCCCGGCAAGAATCGGCTGACATACTGGCGGAATAGGGCTCCTCCCCGCCAGAAAGTGGTTCGCTTCGACTGCAAAATGGGACACGCCCTCTGTGAATCAACCTCAAAAGGGTGTGCCACCCACCCACCCACCCACCCACCCACCCACACACACACACACACCCACCCACCCACCCACCCACCCACACACACACACACACCCACACACACACACACACCCACACACACACACACACACCCACACACACACACACACCCACACACACACACACACACACCCAACCATTCTTCAGATTGAAAAGCCGCCTGTCGAATCCCGCTTTCTCTGCCCAGCGTCTGGGCTGAGGTAGGTGTTCCTTCTGCACGACGTGCACCTGGGCTGCATCTATGAGCCCTCTAAGCAGCACCCTGATGTGGGCAAACTCGCAATTCCCCATGACCGGGAGAAACCACCCAAAAAATTGGAAAAGCCCATCCCCCCCCCCCCCCCCGCTTTTGCCACTGCTGTCGATGTGTCGCCTCAAACTCGCCCCGCAAAGAACGGCTCCATGCAACTCTTCAGTGAAACCACCCAGAGGCCTACGAAAGCCACAAGCCGGGAAGGGGTCTTCTGCCTCCCACCTTTGCGGGGGCCTGCCCGCCTTGGAGCTTCCTGAGGAGCATGACTTCAGGATGTCCAAGTTCCAACCTCCCCCCCAAAAAAAAAATGCACTGATTGTTGCCTGTGTTTTTCTTTCTTTTTTTCTTTTTCTTTTTTTTTTCTCTTGTTTGTTTATTTTACTTCTTTTTTTTAACACACACACACACACAAACTCTCTTAAAACCTTAACCCCCCCCCCTATCCTGCGCTCACTGACTCGCTAGTAACCACCCCGGCGCCTGACGGGAGAAGAGCAGGCCTCGCAGTTGTAGGGGCACTCCTGCGCTCGAGCGAGTGGTGCGGATGTGGTCAGCCAGCTGCTCTCCCACGCACTTCCGATTGAGTGGATGGGCCAAGAACAGCAACCAAACTTTTTGTGCAAGCCACTGCAATGGTCCAAACCCAAAAAAGTCTAAAGTCCATGAACTCAATTTGCCAATGAACTCAGAACGTCAGCCCCACAAAAATGGGGCTGAGCTGCTTTTCCTAGGAGCCTGCACACTTCTCGTGCCGGGAAGGTACCCCAATTTTCCCACAAACACAATGAGCGGCTCTTCGGCAAAACCGCCCCCGGACCTGGGCCAAACCCGGAAAAGGTGATCCTTTCCTTTGCTGCACGGCTGAACAGCCGACACTTGGTTGACCTTGGGTTAGGGGAGCAAAAATTGGAGAAAAAAATAAAGCAGTTCAGTGGTTGGAGTTCAACCTAAATGAAACCGGGCGAAAGTGAAACCCCAAGAACTCCTCTGTTTCTAGGGGTTGGTTCCCCATTCTTTTCAACCAGCGGTCTTTTCAAAAAACCAGCTGTTTCCCTGGGTTTTTGACGGTTTCCTGAACAGAAGGATCCCTGGAAAGAATGGGGAAGGCAGCCCTAGAACTGTGGATGTGTTGAAATCCATTTCGCACCGTTCAGAAACCCTAGTCTCTGATGACTCGCCCTGTAAATGCCAACAAACAATGGAGTCAACCATGGTTTCATGTCGTGGTGCGAAATGGATTCCTGCAACCATCCACAGTATCTCCAAAACCCGTACCACATGTCCTACCCCAGCCTGTCTGGAAATAAAGTCTAAGGCTCCTATGAACTAGGTCCTCCAGTAGAGAGGTTAGAATAAGTTGGTACCAACTTCTTTCTTTTTTGTCTAAATTAGGATCGGAACCGAATCTCCCCCCAAAGGGGCGAGAAAAGGCACCTAGCCGGGGGAATGACCTAGACCTACCTGTAAACCAAGGGAGTTCACCATCACTACTGAGGGACTTAGTGAACCTAACCCCCCGAAACGTCTCGCTTCACTCGCCGCAGATTTTGCCTCGACATGTCCGGTCCTCGCACACGCCCCCGATGAAGTTTCCGGGGTCCTGGGCGCCCTCTGAGCCCCGCCTGGTCGGCAAAGCGGCTCTTAGAATTGGTTTGGCTCCCGGTTGTGTGCTCGTTGTTTGTTTTTGGTGCTGCTTGCTAGTGTGTTTGTAGGCGTTCGTCAGTGTTGTTGGCCTTTGTTGTTGTTTGTGTTGTTTTTTTTTCTTAGCGCTGTTGTTGTTTCTTAGTGCTTGTGAGTTTTTGTGAGTGTTGTTGGTGTTGTTGTTTCTGCGTTTGTTGTGATTAGTCTTTCTTGATGGGGATTGCTTGGCGGTTCCGTGGTTCTGCTGCACCTGTATCGAAGTGTTTCTCGACTCCACACCTCCAAACCCCTGAAAAATGCCCCGGCGACCTGTCAGTGGATGGTCGGAAATGGGAGTTGCATGGTGGCAAAACCGGAGAAAAATGGGGGCACCCCACATGGCACCGTGGTGAACAGTTAGCCCTTTCCGATGCCAAGGTGGAAAAGCGGCAATTTTTGCCAACCCGCTAACTATGTCATGATTTCAAAGGGGATTCCCATCGTACAGCGGCCCACAAGGTTCCACAACCATGATCGGGGCGTTTAGCACAAAAGCAGGATGTAAGGCGAGGCGTACCTCTTGTTGGTCAGAAACGCTGGGCTGAACCGACTTGAAGGGGTCCAACTGATTGCCGAAAGGAGGACAAGAGGGAACCCTAAAGGTCAAAACAGAAAGGTCAGTGTCGCCAAGTGAGGATCCCCCAGCAAAAAGCATCCTCTCTTTCCCTGTGTCTTCCATATCTGACAGCTCCAACCTACAAGCGAAGCGCACTTGATGTCAACGAGTGAACCCTCAAACTGGTGGCTGCCTTGGTCCGTTTGAAGAAAAAAAACGGGCACCTTTTGTCTCGGAGAAACAAACAAAAAAGCCGGCAAATCGGCACCCGGCTCGCCTGGGCCAGGTGCCTACAGGGCACTTCTCTTTCTGCACGCACTCTTTGTCATCCAGGTAGTAGTCATTCTGACCTCGCCGAACATCGAAAACTGCAAATCGGAAGGCAGACAAAGCGCTGAAATCGAGTCAGATCTTTTCTTGGACTGGACACAGAAACATCTGGTCTCATGCTGCGTCATACCTTCCCCATTCTTTCCAAGGACCCTTCTTTCTAGAAACCTCCGGAAACTCAGAGAAAACGGCGGTTCTTTGAAAAGAACGATGGTTGAAAAGAATGGGGAATCAACCCCTGGAATACGTGTCAACCCTGGAGAATGCGGTTATTCTGACCTCAGTTTTCGGGATGCCCCCGAGGTCATTCTCCATGCTTTGAACCGCGGGGCGTTTTGGTTAAGCGCTGGAACCAGGGCCATGCCAACAGAAACGGGGGGTCCCCGATTTAGAGCCAACCCCATGAAAATTTGACGGAAAAAAAAACAGACCTCTTGGCTGAGCGCCCACCCGCAACCAGTCCGATGATAGCCTCGCGAACATCCCATCGTGAAGCGTTGGGATTGTGGCTGTTGGTTTCTCTTTGAAGCCACAACCACAGGGGTACCCTCAAAAAGCAAAGGCCCCGCATTGGCACTTCAAGACCAAGGCTGAAACGGGTGGGGTTCCAATTTGCTTCAGACCTACCAACGGCAGCCACTGGAGAACCTCCCAAAAAAAAGCCACTAGAGAACCCCCCCCCAAAAAAAAGAAACAAAAACTCACGCCAAAGACTGTCCTCGATGTTGGGGCCCTAAACCATGGAGGGAGAATAGCGAATGGGGCAAGGTCCAAAGGTCCACAGGAGAAAGGTCTAAAGGTAGGGTCACTGGATTTCCCCTTTTTTAAACTGATCAATTGACTGTTGGTCTCCTGCCACTTTGGAACGGGAAATGGAGGAAACCAGGCCGGTTCCTGGAAAGAGTCAAAGTCAAAGTGTCTGATCATCTCCTCACAAGAGCAGTGGAGCAGAAAAAAAAGAGGCGCAAAGCCATCAGCAAAAATTGATCTCTCAACAGTTCAGCCCCGTGGATTTCCATTGCAAAAAAGCGGCGCCCTTTCTTGGCAACGGATTCTAAAGGAAAGCCCCCCTTCAAAAGAAAGCTGAAACAGGGCACCACTGGCGTGAGGGAAGAACAATTGTCTGCTTCCGGCGGGGTTTTCAGCTTTTTCGGGCTAGGTACTTGCCATGCGCGTCATCATTGTGGAGCCTACGGCCTGCTCGAGCATGTCATGGAGACAAGATTTTTGTGCCACCGGATCTGCACTTGTTTGACCACATTCCCCCAAAACTGAAGCAACCATTAACCCCCCACTGGTCCTCCAGTGGAGAGGTTAGAATACGGGTACCAACTGTTTTCCGTGGTTTATCTTTGTAACTAAGGGAACACCCCCCCCCCCAACCAAACAAGGGGAGAGAGGTCGGGCACCAATCGCTGGGGGCCCTAGCCCAAGACCTGCGCCGAATTCTCAGCCCAGGACAGCTCTGGGCTTGGATCGTCATCTCTTCCCTCTGCTGGCCCTCAGAGAGTCCGATGCCGTTTTTGTCGCTGTGGCTCGTCAAAATGGCCGCGTGGCTCGTCTTTCTTTTTGAAGGCTGGGCCCCAAAATGCAGTTGAAACCTCACAAGCAACAGGCACCAACTCAAAAACAGGCCAACCCAAACAGTGGGACCTGGTGGTGGATTTCATTCTACACACACGAAGGACGAGCTTATGGGCTTGGCAAACATGGCGTACCAAGTACGCACAGCCGCCGGCTTAGCCTTTGGCTCAGACTTGGGCCGTGGGGAATCTGCACACTGTTTTGGTTTGGATTGGTATTGGTCACACTGCTCGATGCCGTTGCAGTGTTCTTGCCACTCGTCAATATCTCAGAGCCCTCGTCAAAGTCTCCACCACCCTTTCGCACGATCACGACCAAGGCAAGCTCATACAAAAACTTGAATTGCACCACTACAATCACTCAAACTAATTGAACACATTGAATGTTATGAACCTGCACGCTATCTAATTTTGTGATGCGAAGGGGGGCACATGTACACTTTCCTTTGTGAATGTATTCTTCGGGACGTGTCATTGAATTGGACTGCGCTTTTGAAGGCTTGCACACGTGGATTTGTTGCATATTTGTTGAACTATTTGAAAATTTCGTTATCCTCCCAACACCACGGGCCTGGTCGTAGCACATTAAACAGAAAGGAAACTCCGCCCTGTCGTTGCGTGGCACAGGCAGTGCCAAACGTTTTTCAAACCTGTTCAAACGTTTCGAACGTGTATATCGTTTCGGACAGCTCAAACAGCCCGAACCGAAAAGATTGAAGAACCAAATAAGCTAAAACCTAAGCACAGCCATCAAACTGCTATTGATTGTGGATTGCTTGCTCAGAGTTGTGATGAGAGCCAAGATTCTTAGGCAGGAGAACCAAGACCTTCTGCTTTTGTAAGAACACTTCTTGTACAGTAACTCTCTTACGATCTTGGGACACAACGTATTTCCCTCTATGATTAGAGTTCGGCCCAGTTATAGAATGTATATCTTATTGTGTGCTTCACTTTGAGTCACTGGTAAAATGTAAAATGTGTCCTAAGTCTACCCCAGCCTCTTTTTGCAAGTTGCACCCACCTCACCGATCACACCCTCGGCGCACCGACGACGTTCAGCCCGAGCCGCCACCAGCGCGTTCGGGGCGGAGCATTCATAGTCGTTCTCCCTGGCCGGAGAAAAACAAAAAAAAACAACGCCTTCGGGGCGCCGGAAAGTACCGGGAACGCCTTTCTAGGGGACACGAAACCATGTCCATGCTTAACCTGATCCGAATCTTTCCAGAAAGCCTCCACCAAAAACCCAGGGAAAAGAGCGATCGGTGTTCGAAGAAAAGGATGGTTGGAAAGAGTGGGGAATTAACCCCTAGAACCTTGTCCTGTGGGCTTCCAAACTAAAGCATTGAAGGGTTCACCGAGCTAATAGTCAAATGGGTCTGTGCTTTTGGAGGGTGGCCTGGTCAGCTAAGTTTGAAGGAAAACCCATAAGAAAGAAATGACGGCCAGGAGTGACCCTTCACCCGAACGGCCCAAGGACACCTTGGGGCAAAAGGGCGGTGGCTTCAACTGGCCCTCTAGTGTCTGACTTTGATGCCCTCCTGGAGGATTCGAAAAGGTCAGATCTCGATCTGCATTCTGCAACACGACAAACAGCCAACATGCCACCAAAATGACAGGGCTTCCGAGCCATTCCCCCATTTGCAGCCATCAACAGTGGCGATCGGATCAAGAGAAACCCACCGGAAAATTGATCAACTCGTGACGTGGGGTTTGAAATCCAGGCAGCCCCTGTTCTGATGCACAATTTGAACGGACACCACGTTTGAGGCCTCCCCTAGGTGTCTTCAACCTTGCTCTACGCTGACCCGTCCCAACGCTCCGGTTGTTTGCCTCCCCGCCCCTCCACTTGGGTGTGCATTTTTCCCCTAACCCTGGTGTTCCTTTTGGTGTCCCTTTCTTCACCTACCAAGGGCTACCAACTTCGCCTAAGACGAGCCGAAACCGGACAACTGAGGGACCTGGGCCTCCTCCCCAACCTTCCCCCCCCCCCCCCAACCCTGCAGACCCCCCTCGGGGCCTGCAGACGCTGCAGAGCCGGCCCTCCTTCTCCCACTTGGCCGTGTTCAACTCGAAGAACCGCACCGGGCAGGACCTCAAAAAAAAGAAACATCCCATCAACGGGGTACTGTGGATGGAGGAAATCCATTTCGCGCCACTTTGACACCACGGGGGTGCTGTTCGAGGGGACACTTCCATTTCCATTCTTTCCAGGCATCCGATTCCTTTCAGAAAACCAGCAGAATCCAAGAGGAAACAGCGATCGGTTTTGGAAAAGAACGATGGTTGAAAGAATGGGGAATCAACCCCTAGAACTGTGGATGCACGAAATCCATTACGCACCACCTTGAAACCACGGGGAACCCATGCTTTGTGGGCATTTAACCGGAAAATTCGAATCCGTGCAACAAAAAATATTCGTTGGTGCGAGATGGATTTTGCGGCCATCCACAGTATGGCCCAAAAAAAATATCGACCAGGACTTGGACGGGAGTCCCGCTTTTTGTTGCTTCCTCTCCATTTCCCGGGGACGAACCGATTTTGGGGGCTCTCCTGGATATGTTCGACCACACTCAATGAATGCCCATGGTGGGGTGGAAAAAAAGGGGGTGGAGGGTTGGAAGTACGTGGTGTTCAACGCAAGTGATGGAAAGTGGTAGAGCTAAAGGGTGTTCGAGGGGGCAGCTGTTGACAAATGTCAAAGGAAGAATCCAAAAACCACGGCGTTCACTGCACAGAAACCAAAGAGAACTCCTAAATACGACGGAAATTGAGCTTGCGAGGCCCTACATGGGGGTTGTTTGCATTCCAGCGCTCAACAATGGAAAGCTCACTATCCACCCTTCAGGACCTAAAGGTTTACCCACGCCATGAAAAGCCTCCAGCACGACCCTCTGTTCAGTGGGCAAAAACATGATCCAAGAACCTGCAGGCGGGTTCCTTGCCAGTGGCTGTTAGAGGGTGCTGCTTGTTGCAGCCCTCCATTCATGGACCCAAGAAAGGGGGAGAGTCCCTGAATAAGCCAAGGATAAGCCCTTCCGCGTAGGTTGGGATGCAAATACTACAAGTTCCTTGCCAAGTTGCCCGAGTTTACTGGCCTAAAATGTCTTCGCCCAGCTTCAATCTAAGCGTTCACGACAACGTTAGCTCCGCCAAACTCAACCTGCCAATGTTAGCCAAGGATCAATAAACCGCTGGTTGATTCATCCGGGTATCCCAAGGAATTGGGGATCCGGGTCGCTCTGTGGGGTTCTGTCCTGGGTTGACATCCTCAGCACCAGGCATCCCTCTTTTATTACTCCAATGTGGACCAAAACTAAGGAGCTTCCCTTGACATTATCTACCTTCGGGGGGATCAAAACAACTTCACCTCGCGCCTGGCACCCTCTCAAAACTCCTTCAAAACGCATCTTCGGACCGCGCCTTGCACAACTTCCCTGGTGCAAGTAGTTGAAGTTCGTGCACACCTGGCACACCTCGCGGGCGAGAAAGAACAAAAAAAACAAACAAAAAACGGCCAGGGTTGCTCTTGGGTCGTTGATAAAGGGAAGGTGGAAGAAACGAACCACATGGTCCATCCCTGCACAAAGGCTCTCGCCTAGCTCCTAATCCATGGGCTTGCAAGTCTGTGGAAAAGCGCCCGGTGTGCCAGCAGCCCTCGACCCCAGAAAACCTGGAACACCTGGCCATTTCAGTACTTGCAGCGGGCTTGGCAAAGCTTTAGGCACCTGAAGGAACCGAAACTGGCGAACTGGTGCGCGGCGGTGGTGATTGATCGCCCAGATGTTGACCCCTTTGCGGGTCTCAAAATGGTGCACCCACATTGGGCAGGTTCACGTTGGTGTCCATGTACAACAAAACCCCCCAAGAGGTACCCTCAACAAACAGATGCACCGAAGTCAAGAACTTGCCAGACTCTGATAAGCACAAATCCCGACAACTGAAATGTGGATGCCCTCTAACATGACCTGCCCCCCCCACAACCAGAGATGTAGTCATCCTGGGTTGACAAATTCTGCTTCTTTGCATGGGGGCTTCTTTCAAAAATGTCTACCCAAGAAAGGGTGCTTGCCCTTCTTTCTCAATGGCCACTGGGCCGCCCGTTTCGGTTTGTCTGTGAGCATCTCATATGTTCTCAGGCGCAGAGATTGCATGACTCACTGGATTTTCAATTGCCCACAAACACCCGGAAAACTCATCGAAACTCGCCGTTTGTCTTTTGACAAGGATGTGGTGCCCTTTGTGGTTGGCTCTCATAGTCACAAGCCTCCAGGGGGTGCCATGGTGAGGATGGCTACCACGTATGGAAACCCTTCACAAGGCCCTAGTAGAACTTGTCCTTGGCTTATCCTGGCCACCCCTGTAGACTATGAAAAGAGTACTAAAGAAAAACTAAAAGAATGAACAGGGGGAAGAACAGGCGAAATCCACAAAAAGCGCATCCAAACCATTTTCTAGACCCATAGCCCCACTAAAAGATCCATGACCTAGGAATTATGGATGAGGAAGGGCCCATTCTGAACAGCCCAATTGGAAGAATTGCCCGTTTCCCCAGTGAGTAGTCAACAATGTTCATTTTGTTGGTTGCTAGTTCGTTGATCCCTGAGGAAGAATCATCTTAGGATTATTATTTTTTCTCATAGCGGTCACTGGATGTTGCCGAGAGTGGCAAAAAAAATCGGTGGTGCCTCCCGACCCCGTCATAAACGTCCTCTAAACTCCACAAATCTGAATGCGGGTATGGCCAGGCACTGCCAAGCAACGGGTGAGTCATGAACTAGAACCTTGCATAAAAGTGTGTATTTCAGGAAGAACCTGGCAGCCAAGAAATTGCCAGTATTCAGATGCCAGCTTGCGTTAGACACATCTGTGGGAACCCACTCAACAGGTCGCCAAAAACCCCAAATGGTCCATGATGAAAACAGCCATTCGTCCATCACACATCGCGTATAAGGGTTTTTTTTCGAGCACTGGGATTCTTTGGGGTCCCCCTACCGTTCCCCATAGGGTTCATTCGGGAGCCTTAAGGCATTTTCCTTGGACCACCCCTCCCAGTGGGTCTTTTGGAGTTGGAGGCGGGCTTCCAATTGGGGTCCAAATTCAACCACCAGGAATGGGGTTCGCAGGTTTGAGCCAACTTGATTCCAAGGGCCACCCACTTCTGGGTACAAAAGTGTTTGACCACCACCCCCCATTCCTCACCCAAAAAAAAAGCATGCCGCCCACCACACCCCAGTCCCCACCCAAACAACCACCAAAAAAAAGACGCTTTCCGCCTCCAGGCTGTGGCAGGCCGCGCAGTTGTCCGCGCAGGGCACGCACACCCCCGGGTTCTCCGGACGTTCCGAAGCGAACGCAAAACCGGGAGCGCTTTCCGCGGTACCGGGCCTTGGGGTAGGGGCGAAAGCTGTTGGGAGCAAAGAACATCTGGGCGCTTCATTCAATGGCCCATTTCCCATCATCCCGAAGCCACGAATTGCAAAGGTGCCAAATCCCAAAGCTCAACCCAAGGATTAAGCATTGCCTTTGAACAGCCAAAAAAAGAAGGGGGGCCTTCTCTTGAGGGTGAGTCCCCTGTTTGGGTCTGGTTGAAAGGGAGACCAAACTGAAACTACCGGCTTTTGTGTGTGTGTGTGTGTGTTGCGAAAGAAGAAAGAAGCAACAAAATGGGGCCTCCCTCTTCAATCCCGCGGCACAAAACAACCCTCTGGGCCAAACACAAGGGGAAAGAAACAAAACGAAAACTGGGGGAACCGCGTTCATTCGACTTGGTCAATCTGACGAAACAGTGCAGCTTTGATGGCAACCACATGCGACCACTAGTGACACAGTACTCACTTCTGGGTGGATTGGCCCAAAAAAAACCTTTTGTTACCACTAAAACAGTCTTCCCAAAAAGTATATAAAGTCCATGAACTCAGGAAGTAAGGCGAGCAGTATTAGGAACCACAAAGGCCATAACCTTCCCATGGCTCAATCAGAATTGATCTCTATCATCCTGTATAGCATTGAACCACCCCCTCCCCCCCCTTTTTTGCTACCAGGAACCAAGACTCCTCCTCCCCCTACCAGGACCCAAGAAACGGACCCCTGTGACTATTACAAGTCCGTGCTTTTTCTGCCGGCACTTGACTTGGAGCGGCTTTGAAAGGGAATCTGAAGGACGGTCACCTATTTCTGGGGCCCAAAACTGTGAAGTCTAGCAACTCGGGGACTACTCCTCCCCTGGTACCAGGACCCCCTCCTCAGAAAACCAAAAACTGACCCCTCTGACTCCCCGAACCGAACCGAAGCTTCCGCCCCAGTCCTGCAGGTCCATACCCCCCTTCTCCGTCCAGCCCCTGGGGCAGTCGAGCTCGCACTTCGCCTCCGGCGTCAAGAAGTGCCTCGGGAGCTTCGAGCGCGTTTTCTCCGGAGGACGGAACGCGTCCCAACAAAGCCCAGAGGCGTCGAAAACGCGTCAGCTGGTGGGGAAATTTTGAAGGAACCCCAAATCCGGCACGATCAAGGCCTTTGGCACGCAGTCTGGAGTCTGGAGTCTGTACTCAACTTGACCAGGTCTCCCGGAATTCCAGAATCCTGTAAAGATGCTGCACCTCGCTGACTTTCTACGCGCGTCGTGCTTTGTGCTGAGGTATACATTGGCATTTCGGCTAGGTAGATGTACGGGAAACTCTCCAAAAATGGGCTGTCCGTCGGCTGATCCCCTGCCAAGAGTGTCACTTTCTAGTGGGTTCAATGGAAACCCAAGCGCTGAAACAACTAAAAGGCGGAAAGGTCTAAGGAACCGGAGGGCTGGGAATCACCAAGGGGGGTATTTGGCTCTCGGTCTTGTTTTGCGTTCAGATCTTCCGAAAGCAGACACTTATCCATTGGACTATGCTTCCCACGTGACAGCTGTGAATAAGTCTGCTCATCAGAGACTTTTCTGAAGTCCCCAGAGGAAAAACAAAATGTGTCCAATAATAATAGATTCCCTTCAAAACCAACGGGGGAAAATAAAAATGGTTTTAAACGAATGGAAGATAGGTGTCCGTTTTGGAAAATCAGATGGCCTTGGTAAATGGAACAACCACCATCTAAACCAGGGCCATCTACAAAAAGGACACCTATGTCTCAGACCAGTTGCCGGAATTGCTGGTGAAATCGATACAATTTTTGCCCTCGAGGGGGCCAGAATGTCCCAAGTTCAAAGGGCCCAACTCTGGATGGACGAAAACCATTTCGCACCATGGCTGACAACGCTTCTGGGCATTTACCACCCAATCAACTCTGATACTAGGGGGCTTCTTCTTCGCGAAACGGACTTCGCAACCATCCACCGATCGCAAATAAACCCCAACGGAACCCCAGAGGAACCGCCGCCCGGTTGCCGCCCATCGAATCGACTCGACTCCCGAAATCGACTCGAATCAACATGGGTCCCCGGCAGCACCTTGCACTTCGTGCACTCCTCGGGGCCGAGAGTTGGTTTGGTTTGGGTCCAAAGGCTCCAAAGGGCCAGGTTTTGGTTTGTGTGACTTTGGTTCAGGGTACAAAATCAGGTGGAACTCTAGGGGTTGATTCCTCCTCCATTCTTTTCAACCATCGTTCTTTTCAAAAACCGGATCCGCGTCTCTTTTTTTGGGATCCCGGAGGTTTTCTTTTGAAAGATTCGGATCCCTGGGGCCCGAGAATGGAACCCAGCTGTTGGGCCCCCGAAAAGGAGATGCCCTCCAAACGTTGGGTGCAGAGACAACGTTGGGTGCATGAGGTGTGGGAATTTCTTGGTGGAATCAAAGGGAAGCAAAAAAAAAACACCATGGTCTTGGTCCCCGAAAAAAGAAACACACCCACATGAGACACGGAAATGACCGTTTGTCCCCTGCGTGTAGGGAATGGACAATAGACTACTGGAACTTTCGAGCCCAAACCTAAAAACCAAAAAGATGACACCCTCGCAAAGAAAAAAGAAAGCCAGGGGCTGCAACGGTCCCCAACCGCCAAATGAGACCGGCTTTGAATCTCGTGGATGGATTTATCTTCAGTTTGCAACGACCCGATCGACGGGGTCGATCTAAAGAAAAGAACTTCAGGTGGTTTCGTTTGTCACGGGGCTCCGAGCACCTGTTCTCACCGGGGGCCTAGAAATTACTGCAAGGCTCGGCCTTGATTGATTTGGAACCCGCGAACCCGCGCCTTTTGACCAACTCCTTTCGAGGTGTTCCACCCATAGGGGCCCCACGTTCAAGCCGGGGGAGTGAAACAGCGAGCAAGATCGCGAGCGAGCGAAAGGAAGCTGGGAGGCCGCGTGGCCTGACAAAAGCGGGTACCCTTTTTGAGATCCTTCTCAACCAAAGGGAACGCCAATCCTTGGGCGTGTGTGCAAAACGCCCCCATTTTGGGGCAGAGGGATTCCTGGAGTCCAGATGTTTAAAAGGACTAACCCCCCAAATTTTAAGGGGGAGATCACAGAGGGAATATATTTCGGGTGATCCCACGACCCCGGAGTCCAGAATCACTCCAACCAAGGGGACACTCACCTTTGGGCCAAAAAGGTGATGTTCAAAACCGCCCAAATAGGGACATATGGCCATGGTTCAAAACCAATGGGATCCCATTTTGGGATAGTAGGACCTATTTTAGTGGGGATTGGGATGTTCACTGGGGTCACGATTTGGATTTTGACTCATGGTGCCCGATGCTGGCCCCCGAGCTCCACGTGGACACATCGCGACCGAATCAAACGCGCCAAGACGCCAGCTGGCTGCGGCACGCCACGCAGGTGGGGTCGCAGGTCTTGCACATCCCGCCGATCGGCCCATCGCCGGCTGCGCGCGCAACCCGCGGAAGGGGGGGGGTTGGGGGCGGGGGTGGGGGGGAGGAGGCGGGGGGGCCGGGGGGGGGGGAGGGGTTCTTCTTCAGCCTGAAAAACCGGAGTTTGAGAAGAGACGCCCAGGCAAATGTTGAAAATCTTGCAGCGCCGAGCCCTGAAAACCCAAACACTGTTCAGAAGGTGGGTACAAAAAAGAGGGGGCGAAACAAAATCCGTTTGAGGGACAAATAATTCGAGGAACACAGCCAGGAAGATGCCTTTTAGAAGTTTCAAAAGCCAACATGACATCAACAATTTGGTTGAGGGAGGGTCCGAGTTTCGAAGCCATGGACAAATGGGCTTCACATTCATCAAGAGACTTGAAGGGTGGTATGACTCCTGCTTGGTGTCTCCTGTGACAACTTGCTCAACTGGAATTCTTTCTGCAGACCCCACTTCCTGAGTGGATTGATCAGAACAGCCGCCCAGAATTTGAAGCGTCTGCAAGGAAACTTGCCGTTGGCTCGTTTGCTCGTTCTTCGGCAAGACAGATCGCCAAATTCATTGGTTTCTATTGAACCTCCCCTGCAAAAACTTTGGGTCCAATGGAAAATCCACCGTTTCACAACAAAAAAGCTAAAGCCCAAAGATCCGTTTTCCAAACAGCCACAAAGACTCCTGCAGATGTGCGCTGCGCGTTTTCGGCCGCCTTCTGGGTAGTAGCCCTCCGGGCAGATCTTCACGCACTCGCCCCGGTGCGTGAGGAAGTTGTAGTCCACGCACTCCAGGCACACCTAAGGCCGTGCCATTGAGTCAAGTGCATGTTCAAGTATAGGTTTAGGCGTGGATGCTACCACCAAAAGAAACGCTTGTAGGCAGTATATGCCCCTTTAACGTAAACTCCATACCTCAAATGAAGACCAAGAAAAACGTTGGCACTGTCCCCCATTTTGGGCCAAGCTGAAATGGAGTGGGGTTGGACAAAAACGTCTCAAGAACGCCGAGCGTGAATTGGCAAATGCAAACTAAAGTGAAGCCACCAAACAGCGGGAGTTTTTGGACAGGGTTCGCTTCCCTTTTGGTGGTTTTAAACATCACCTTGCAATCCTGTTGGAAACCCAATGGATGCCCCTAACGTCCAAACCAACCAAACCAAACCACCAAACCAAACCACCTGCTAGGGGTAAGGTGAAACGTGAAACGAAAGTGAGGTTCCTTTTGGAGGGGTGATGTTTGTAGGGAATGCAGGGCCCCCTCTCGAATCGCGAGAAAGAGATACGAGCAGTAAGAGGACTGTCAGGTATACAGCTCCATTATCCCAGCGCAATGTGAGGTACCTGGGCAAACACAACTCGAAATCTGCGATACCAAAGTGGTGTTTCCACCCCCACCTCGCTATCACGTTGAAGGGGATTTCTTTGGGATCACAGGACGGTGACTGTACCCTGTTTTTGCACGACTGGTATTCCTATCATCCTAGCCCATCCCTCCGGAACCTCTTTCTCCAAAACAAGACCTGGTAAGGGTGGCCTCCCATTGAGATAGCGCGCTCCGTTCTTAAATCAACCCGATTAGGTCAAGTGCAAGTGAGTGACAATCAAAACCTGGTATTAAAATGGTCGACCCAGAACCATGTGAAGAATTAAGAAGGCGGCCCGCAACTATTTGTGGCTGGGACTGTTCCTTACCAACCTTCATCTACCCAGTTGATTGTGACTCAAGTGGGCTTGAAGCCCTAGGGCCTTAGGATTCTGAAGGGCTCCGGAGCCCGTCTTGACTTGACCGCCCGAAATCCGATCTGGTTGCTCCTTCGGAACACAAGGTCACAGAGGTTTACATGGCCCTCAATGACAGCTAATGCAACCGGGTGTCAGAACCCAAGCACCTACCAAACTGGCCTTTCTTGCTGGTGTTTTTTGTAGGGAATGAGAACTGATGAACCTGGAGATTCCCGAATAAAGAACACCAACTCGGGGATGGCTTTCGGGGTCAGACTCCATGTTTCTCCTTCCCATCTCTCGCACCGATCGCAAGCCTTTGGTACATAAAAACCGATCTATTAAAAAACCGTGCAAAAAGGAACCGAGGCGGAGATCTGCACCTATGTCTGGCTATCCTTTCACCCTATAGGCTTATGGCTCAAAATAGGGGAAGCCCAGTTTGGAGTTGTGTCCGTTTGGTCTCCCTTTAAAGCCAAGGGCTCCATTCTCTCACTTCCCGAGCTCTCACTGCCGCGGATGGGCCCAAAAAAAGAAGTACAGGAACCACATGTTTACCACTAAAATGGTTAATGGTTAAAACTGAAATGGTTAAATGGTTAATGGCTAATTGTTAAAATGGCTAAAACTCAAAAAAAGTGACTGAAGTCCGAAAATTTGAACTCGTCGGAACTGAGCTTCCCCATCTTCCCCATTTTACCGCCCCACGCTCGATCCCTTCGCCGCGGCGCCACCGGGGAGAACATCCCCGCGATGCAGCGCCCGCAGCCGGACGGGCAGCGCTGGCAGGAGTCCCCGATGGTTCCCGTGCCATTCCTCAGCAAAGACAAGGACTGGACAACACAAACTACACCTGCATAGACCCCAGATGGCCTAAACCCAAAGCACCCGGCCGTCACCTGTAGCTGTCAGCTGTCCAGGGGAAAAGCGAGCTCCGATGCGTTAGAATCAAAATGGACTGGACTGAGTGAAGACCCTAAACCATCAACCACATGTGACCCAGAGACAATCAGATATCGGCTTGCTAGTCTTAGTTCAATTTGAAAATAAAGAAAGTGATGGCAGAGCCAGAAACACAGGAAACCGGACAAAACTTGCTGGTGCGAGAGGCCGGGAATGCCGAGGGAATGAACCGGTTTTGGGGATTCCCGAATAAGGGAAACCACCAGTTGGATGGTTTTCGGGGGTCATTCCATCTCTCATTCCCTGCCTATCGCACTGATCGCAAGACCAAGAAGATGGCACGAATGGGCCAACTTTCGGAGGGTCGTTTTGTTCCACCAAAGCCCCAACAGCCCCTGACCCCACCGAATCAAAAAGATCTTTTACTGGCTTGGGCTTCCCGCCTCCTTTTGTCGAAAATCTGGAAAAACTCTGTGTTTTTGGACGTCCTCTTTGCGAAAACGATGGAAAACCGTGTTTTTTTTGCGGGAAACTGGGGAGCAAGGAAATGAGGGGAGGAAATAGGAAGTCGACATGACAGGAAAGCAACGGAAAACGAAAGGGAAACAAATGGGAACTGAAAGGGACATGAAAGGGACAGAAATGAAAACAAGGGGAGCGCAGGGAGAATGATAGGGAAACAAAGCACAAGGAAACAAACCGGCACGACGGGAGATGTAGGGAAATGACTCGCAACGCAAGAACGGGACATAGAAAATGTCAGGGACATGAAGGGGGAGTTGAAAGGAATGGAAGGGACATGACCGGGACATCAAGGGGAAAGCCAGTTGTGAGATGACAGTTCAGGGTCATGAAGGGGCAGTGCCCGGACATCGAGGCAACTCAGGGGGGACGTGACGCTGCAATGCAGAGAGAGAGAGAGAGAGAGAGAGAGAGAGAGAGAGAGAGAGAGAGAGAGAGAGAGAGAGTCAGGGAGGGAGCGGGGGAGAGAGAGAGAGAGAGGGAGAGAGAGAGAGGGAGGGAGAGAGAGAGAGAGAGAGAGAGACACAGAGAGCGAGAAAGAGGGAAAGCGAGACAGACAGAGACAGAGCCAGAGTCAGAGAAAGAGACAGAGAAAGAGACAGACACAGAGAGAGAGAGGGAGAGAGGGAGAGAGGGAGAGAGAGAGAGAGAGACAGAGAGAAAGAGCGAGAAAGAGAGAGAGAGAGAGAGAGAGGGAGAGAGCGAGAAAGAGAGAGAGAGAGAGAGAGAGAGAGACAGAGACAGAGCCAGATAGAGAGAGACAGAGAGAGGGATATTGAGGAGAGACAGGCTTGGGGGGATGGGGAGGATCGGGAGCGGCGGGAGGGAGAGAGGACAACAGAACACACAAGAAAGACAAGGGAGAGATGAAGAAGGAGAAATGGGAGAGGACGATGTCGGCGGAGTGAGCCGGAGGCTCTAAAGTTTTTTTCCACATAAGCTCAGGCCGTATCCCCAACTGCCCAACTGCCCAACAACCGAATCTGCTGATGCCTCCCTGAAAGCTGCCCCCCAAACCACGCCAGACCTTATGGGCAGAGACCTTTCAGCTGTCAGGGAAAAAAACATCCCTGTTGGTGGGGAAGGGAGGGTACCCTGCTCGTTTCACTTTGGGGTGAATTCGGAATTTGCTGGGGTCTCTTTCGCATTCTTTGGCGCCCACAAGAGCTGGAGTCGGTTTTTCAGTCTACCCCGGTCGATGGTCACCTAAGTTAAATCTGTTTTTCGGGCCCCAATAATTTCTAGGTTCTCCAAAAGAGAGGTTAGAATGAGGGTACCCGATTTTTGTTTCTGCAGTCTATTTTAGTAGGGGAACCCTCCCCCAAAAAAGGAGTGAGAAAGGGAACTACTGGGGGACCTAGATTCCAATCAAAGTGCGGGTGCGCTTGCCTGGACTCTGACCAACAGTCCTTCCAAGATTTTGAAGTAGGTGAGCAAGCAAACGTATCCATTAGGTTGCTTCATGTGCGACAGAATGCGCAAGGCGTTCTTTGCCTTTTGAAGGTACCTTCCTCAAGTCTTCATCTTGGTGGGAGGGTAACTCAGTGTGACTCATTGCCCCTACCCGAAAGCAGCTCGCGAGCGAGCGCCGCTTGCGCCACAAACCAGCCCTCCAAACAGGCTGCAAAGGCCCTACAACAAGAGGCTTCAGCAAACTGACCAGAACCCTGGGTAAAGAATTGCAAGCCGGGTTTCATTGGAGACAAGGAAACAGTTGACCAGACTCCACACTTTGCAAGGTTCACCAAGCCGCCACGGTCAAGCAGCGGTGAACAAGCCGTCAACCACATGTGCTTTGGGGGTCTGGTGGAGGGTTCTGTGGGGAAAATCTTTGGTAGGTTTGGGCATGCTTTGAAGACGCAAAAGGAGCGTTTTGCCAAACAAAGGCCCAGGCAGGCTGACAGCCAGATTCATCTTCGATCTGTGACCTTTCCAAATGGACGACTTTTTACCGGCTAGATCACGGTGATCTTCCCAGGCCAACCTTTTGCTAAGAGTAATGACAGTTCGAGGTCAATCTGTAGGGGTGGGCCCCCTGCTTCAGAATAGGCATGCCAGCCCAGCCCCTTTGGCCCGAGCTGGCACGGCGGGGTTTGGAGAAAGCTCTGAAAAAGGGGGGGGGAGTGAGGCAGGCAAGCCCAAGCTTTGGCCAAGGCGCTTGTAGAAGCCCTCGGGGCACACGAAGTCGCAAGTGGCGGCGGCGGTGAGGGTCCGCCTTGTCACGCGCATGGCCAGCCATGCCCCGAGTTCTTGACATGTGGCCGTCGTCAAACATATTTTTCAACCCCACAATGGGTGGCCCGGGTAAATGGACTAAAAAAATAACGTCCATCTTCTGGTGGTTGCATCTTGAACCATGCCCATGGCATTCTCCTTAGGGTATGGGACTGGACGCCTAGGCATGCCAGGCGCAAATTGCACCTGGGCCAAGCCTCTGACACCCGGTTAGAGTGCCGCCCTTGCTAACCTGGAAGATAACCCAGGAGCACATCCCTAGTTTAATCACTAAGGGACTGCAGGTTTCCCTTGTTTCCATTTGCCGGGGTTCCATTTCGGGGTTGCCCTGTTCTTGACACCCATTTCAGATCATAGAACCAAGATACAACCAGAGAATGGGGGATCTACATGAGGATACAACCGAAACCTAGAGGTGTTGGTAGGTTAATCAGCCACCAACTACGCCCGTAAATGCTCAAGGTCATTCTTGCACTTGGGTTTTGAAGAACACTTCACAGCAACACTGTCAGTGCTGGATCCTGAGCTTGGTTCTAAAGTCGATTTGGAGGGCACTCTCTTGAAGGTCCCCGATGTTCGGCAAAACCAATTTGAGTCACACTCAAAACCCGGTACTAAAGTGATCGTAATCCCGGAACCATGTAAAGAATTAAGAAGGCGGATATCCGCAACTGCTTCTGACTAAGGCGACTGCCCCTTACTAACCTTCATCTACCCGGGTTTTGAGCACGTGGCTCACTTGATGAACCACCAGCGGTTTGGCACTGGCCGAATGTCCACACTGATTTCTGGGGCTGTCCTCTATCTTCGTGACACACTCTCACGGCTGGTCCCGAGCAGTAAGGCAGATATCGGCAGCCAGTTCTGGTTGGTACGGACCCTATATAACCTGGACTTAGACCCCTAGAAACAAAAAAAGACTGTTGCTGGTTGAAAGGGAACTTGTAGGAAAATCCAAAGAACAAAGGATGAAATCGAAAGCCTGGTAAGCTAAGTCTGGGAATATAACTTCCAGCAACCCGAATCGGGTTTGAATACTCCAGCGGCTGAACTCGTAGAGAGGAACCTGAAAATCTGAGGCGGCCAATGTAAACTTCTCGGCAGATCGACATGCAACAGGGATCCTTACATTATACACCTGAACATTGCAACTTGCAAACGGTGGTTTCCAACTTTATGTTGGTGTTGAAAAAGCCAGCCATGTTTCAAGTTGGCAAAATGGAGATCTTTGAAGGGCAAAATGTTGGGTTCACCATGTGCAAAATGGCCATTTCTGTTAAGGAGCCCTGTGGAACCCAACGAGCCCTCGATTTCGTAGAAAAATGTCCTTTCGGGCACCTGATTCCTCCCAGGCTCGGCCGCTTCTCTGTTCTTTAAGGCGAGGCACATGGGTGGCGAGCCGCTTTTGGTGATGCTACCCCGTATTTGTTGTGGCTTTAAGGAAGGGAAACCAAAAGCAAACCCCTTGTTTTTTGAGAGCCCCCCCCCCCGGCTTTTCAAGGGAAACCAAAAAGTGGAAAAATATGAATCCAGTTTGGGGGGTCGCCCAAAAAAAGGACATGCCGGGGAGAGAGAGAGAGAGAGAGAGAGAGAGAGAGAGAGAGAGAGAGAGAGAGAGAGAGAGAGAGAGAGTTTTTTTTCAGGGGTGGCTGGTGTTGGTCCGGCGCAGGGGATCTCAACCCTCAGCAATCAGTGTTTCTTCTGCGCCAAAACGATCAGAACCGGAAACAACATGGGCTGTCCGTCGGCTGATCCCCTGCTGCAAGTTTCACTTTTGGGAGTGAGAAGGAAACCCAAGCACCAAGCCAATTGAAAACCACCAAAAACCTGAGGAACAGGATGGGAACCACCCGGCATACTGAAAGCACATGGGCAGTTTGTCATAATCCACCGACCCGAAATATCCCAGGAGCGAGTTCGCAAGCCTCAAAACACGTTCCTTTTCCAGGAGTCAGCTTCCCTCGTTGTTTGGTGGTTTGGAGCCCAGTGGTTACCCACCAACCTGACGGGTTGCCTGAAAGAGGGCATGGGAAAACTGATTTGGGCTCGGTCTTAGCGGCCTACATGGGTCTACCAATCTTTGCAACCCTTGGTCTGGAAAAAGATGAGCAGAACCAACAAAACAAAAAACCTCCAAAAGCTTGCAACAGCAGTTCTACCGCAATACATCTTGCCGACCCATATATTTAAATACCCGACAAAATAGCACCTGACCTGCTCAAGACCAACAGGGCATCGCCCGCCACCAACGGATACCCAAGAATCACAGGGCAAGGGATCTCCGGGGACCCTCGTCCCTTTCGCCCCCGAATCGGTGGAGTCGCTCGCGGACGTCCCTCAGCCCAAACCTTCCACATCCATAGGTTCTCACATGTGAAGCAAGAAAATGGCGACTTTTGCTTTTGGTTTGCCTTGTAACCAACCCGAAATATGATACCTGCAAAAAAGACACACGCCCATCCCTCTCTCCCGCTCGGTGCGAGTGGCGACTTCATGCAGTCCATGCAGGTGTTCGCGTCTGAGCACCTGAATTGGACAGGACTGCACGGCTCAAGCAACCAAAACCTGGGACAAAATGCTTCCTGTTCTCGAAGCCCGAAAGGGGGGGGTCTTCCAAAAGGAGACGTGTGTAGGCATATCAAAGGGCTTCTTGCCGAACCTATTTCTGGCTGGGGCTGGTCTCATACTTTTTCCTTGGCTTACCGGGGTTTTAATGGTGGTTCCCCAGGCATACAGCAAGTAAACCAAGCACAAGCCCTGGAAGTTGCAGATTCAAGTCAGATCCGTTCTGCCCTATGGTCACCCCGGCATCTTCTGGACTCGAATCTCCGGAACCCTCCCTGACAGGTGCCCAAAACCACCTCGGAGCCTTGGCAAAGACCCCATAGCTTTCAGCTGCTGGGGGAAACATGCTAGAAGGCTTCCAAGATAAGTGTTGGCTGAACCCCCGGAGGGGGCCCCGCTTACCGCAATCCCCTAATAGCACAGCAGCAAAAAGGTTCCGGTGGGGGGGGATTAAACACGAATTGTTCTGCCTAAGGCTTCCTCATGAGTAGATGGGACAAGGTTTGGGTAAGCCCCAGGGTCCTGTCCGCGGGTGGGATCCGACGCCACGAATCCCCCCCCCCCCCCGGCAGGCCTGTCGCAGAAGGCGGGGCAGGACTCGCACGAGCCCAGGGAGGAGTTGCCATAGTATCCTGAGCAGTCTCCAAACTCGTCTCCAAATCTGGGCTTGTCTCCCCTAGAAGTTGGATTAAAATCGGAAACCCCACCACTAAACCCTACAAATTTGAGGGGATGGCTGGGAGCGACCAAGACATGTGTCCAAAAATGGTTGGACACCCAGAAATGCCGGGCTTTGGTTCCAAATAAACCAGCCATGAAAAGTCCACCCACCACGCTGAGAAGGCAGGTGGCCAACCCCATGCCGACCCCTCACGATCCTTAGGTTGGGAACAGATCGTCCATGGCGTGTTTTTCTTTCTTTTAACGCGGGAATGCGTATGTTCATGCACACCATAATGTTGAGCCCATGCTCATCCACCCCAGTTTTATTCATAGGGGGGTTTTTAACCCCCCTCCAAAAGTGGTCCGATTCCCCACAAAACCCAGCAACAGCCCCTATGAATAACCAGAAGACACACTGGAGTGGAATAATTTATCAAGCCACAGCTTTGCGTTTGCAAAAGCTGAGCCGACAAAGGATATGCTGCTCCTTCCTAAGAACGGATAGTTAAGATCACGTGCGCTTACTTGGGGCTTTCCCTCTGCTATGGCGCCCGTTTGTAGGGGTCCTACATAGAACTTGAGTTAATTGAAAACCACCTCTTATCTGTTGATAAAAGCTTGGCCGGTGATTTTGTGTTTGTTTCATCCGTACGTGTGAGATTTGCACGCCTACATGGATACACATGTTGCAACCACTATATTTGTTCAGCATTCTCATGGCTGGAGTGGGCGTTTACTCCAACTTTACGGCTTGAAATGTTGCTGTTGTACTACATTCAAATCCGTTTAGACACGACGCAGTTCACCATTCTGTCAACCCGAAGTGTTTGGCATCAAAGCATATTGAAAGACCTTTTGGCCATGCGTCAAACACAAAGCACTCAAAGCAAGATAGAAAATCCCTGCTCCTTTCTTTGTTTGCAAATGGAAGCCCACACCACAGCACGTTCCGGAATTGGGGAGCCCGGCAAAAATCCGGACTGGGCGTGTCTGAACATAGGGGACACCCTGAAAAAAGGCATTGGTCTACTTCTGGCTTCTTTGGTGAAGCCCTTGTTCCAGGATGCCAATAGCAATGGTGCGAGACGCTGCAAGTTGGCTGCGCGTGTTGTAAAACAGGGAACCCCAACAAATAGTGGTGCTCTCGTTAGCCTCCTGAAGCGACCCAAAAAAGGCGACGCCTCAAAAACAGGAACCGAATCAGATGACTGACCATAGCTTCCCTTTTGGTGGCTTTAATCATTATGCTTGTGTGGTCCAATTTGGTCCCATTTGACGTGAGTTTTGGTGATGTTTAAAGACGCAATATAGCAACCCCCGTACCGGTTGGGAGTTTTAAGCTCAGGAACCCCCATGGCGCATAGAGAATCGAAGGACGCTCCAAAAGGAGGCTTCCAGGGGTGTTTGGTCGGACTTGGAACCACAGAAAGCCCAAGAAGCAAGGGAGGCCTATGGTAGGGCCTGTGATTTTCGAACCTGTATAGAGTTTCATATCTCGCCCAAATCTGCGGTAGACAGAAAACAAGATGTTAGATGATGCTTCATATTTGGTCAACCCTAAAACATAACATGTGTGTGCGAGCCAAAACAGGGGGAACCCCAAAATAAATCTTGCTGGTCCTTTTGGTGTCCTTTCAAACCAAATTGAAAAGAGGTACCAACGCGCGCAAAAACAAGAGTTCAAATGTCAAGGGCATTTGGAGGACTGGAGGTTGTGTCCACATGGCACCTGACGTTGAGGGGCTTTGGTTTGGACGACTTTCCTTTGACATTCGGACCCTCTGTTGGGGAACCCATGGCAAAGTGGAAATCTCAGATGGAAGATGGCAAAAAAAAACCTCAGACTACCGTGGAAGCTCCCCCAATTGGAAGATCCTGTGAATGGAACCGAGGAGTCTTCCAAAGTCCTGGGAGCTTCCGACTGGAATCGCCCGGATGGGACTTCTGAAGTCAGGTCTCCGTCTGGGCAACTCTCATCGCAGGTCTCGTTGGGCGTCAGGAAGAACCCCTCCTCAGAGAACCGAAACCGCTCGCTTGAGCCACCCGAAACCCGAAACCCGGGCCCGAAGACCCGTCTAGGAGCTCGGCATTGGGTGAAAGTACGTGGTCTTCCAAACTGTGGCCTTTTGTTTTAGGGGTCGCGGGAGTTCCCCAAACCAAAAGACTATTGTCGATTTGCGGGTGGTGTCCCATACTGCCCACTTTTGAACCCTCCAAGAAGGGAAACTGAGGAAACCAAGAAGGTCACTGGTGCAAAGGGGTCCGGAAAACCCAACAAGCAAAAGGAGGGATATCGCAGTGAGTGATGGCAACTGTAGCCATACCAACCTTCTTTTGTTACAAGAGATGAGTACACAATTGACGAATAAACCACTGGCTGATTCATCTTACTGGCGATTTCGCGACTCACTCATAACTTCTGCCTTTGAACGCACAAATACTAAGTTGACAAGTGCAAAAGGCCCCTTCTTAAGCACCTTCTCAACCAACATGAGAAAGCCAGGACGATGGAAAAGTATTCTCTAATGAGATCCACATTGCGAGTCCAAATGGAAGGTGCTCAATGCCGGAGATGCCTGGGGGGCAATGGTCGGGGGAAATGCCCTTTCTACATGGAACCTGACCATTGGGGAAGATGGTGCTGGTTTGGACCATTCTTCTTTTAAAGGGCCCGGGCGTCGAACTTCAGATTCCATATTAATTGTAAGTTGCAAACGGTTTCTTTGCCCCAAAAAGTGGCTCCAGTCCAGAAACTCAACAAAAAGTAAGATATTCACAAACCCGAAAACTAGAAACTGAGCTGCGAAACCCTGGCTGAGCTGTGCTGTGCCTCCGATGCTTCGATCTTCCAAAGGGCACCGAAATTGCGTGGATCCTCCCAAACAACCCCGACGTGAGTTACGTGTCCTGCTCAACCCAAGCAGAGGTTGTATCACTGATTGAAGCCAGCAAACACTTTTTGTGTCCGCTTCCCTTCCAAAGTCATTTTTGGGCTTCTCTCTGAAGCAACCGAAAACGGGCGCAACCCGTCCGCTGGTTGCTTCCCTTCCTCTAGGAAGCGGACCCAAGGATCTCTTCAGCCCAACCATGGCCTCTCGAGCGCCGGCATGAGCCTTGCTTTGGCAGAGCCGAGGCGCGGTGCAGGCTGAGCCTCGCGCGATGCAGATGCTCCAGGCGTTTTTTTGTCTCCAGCTCCGCTTTCGAGGGTGGTTTTGCAATGACGGGAGGAAGCAAACCATTCAATATCTTTTAGCCCCCTGTGATTGGTCTTGTAGACCAAAATTGGGTAACCCGGAGGAAAGACAACAAAAAAACAAAGACCTTTGGAGATTGTCGAAGTGAAACTCTGGGATAGCTCGCAAAGCCCAAGCTCACAAAAGAAACACAACTCGAAGGGAAGTGACACATGTGTTGTTGTTTTGCGTTTGGTGAAAGGGTCGGATCTGGTGAAATGGTGAAACTCGAGTGGGCAAGGATCGCAATGCCCTCCAAACTCACAAAAAGATAAACTCTAAAGGGGCTCCCAGCCAAGCATTTGTGTGAGCTTCCCATAAACCACGCACACATGCCCACAAGCTGAACCGCGGAGAGTTTTCCATCAGATCCCAACCCAAAACCGTTTCCACAAGCCCAAAGAGGACTTGCCGTGGCGACCCAGAAATAAAAGGCGATCACCCAAATAGGACTTGCCATGGCGACTGATTGCCTTTTCGGCCTCCCTGGAAACCAACCTCAAATCAGCCTCCCTCTGATTGGTGGCTTGGATTGGTGGTTTGGATGATGTGACCACTTCCCCAAAAATGGCAACCTGTGACCCTTCTTGGGTTCCATGTCAATTTGCAGAGTACTAACTTGACGGCAACTGGGGGGGGAAGTCGCCAGAAAGGTCTTGCGAGAATAGGGAATCAATCTTCTTGAACTCAGCAGGAGGCCACAAGGACATTCTGCAACCATGGAAACCTATGGCCAGTAGGCCGAAGTCCGGAGAACATAAACCAAAAGGAAAACCAACAGGAGGGGGATCCCCCTTTACGTAAGACATCTACTGAGCTCTCGTTTTAGCATCACTTAAACCAAAAGGTGATGCAAGTGAATAATCCAAAAGCGGAAATTATAGGGTGTCTCAAGGTGAGGGGAACAACATGGATGCTGCCCCTTCTCAATTTCCCCTGGCCCCGGGATTTTCCCTGAAGGAAAACCCCAGGCCAAAGACGTGGTGGGACGGGTCCCTCACCCACCATCACCCAAGGTGTTCTCTCAGCGCGGGGCATTTCTCCGCACTGCTGCAGAGGCTGCAGCTGCCAGGGCAAGCCTATGAAGAAGGCGGGCTGAAACCTACCTGGACTTCTGACCCTTCAAACATTGGGGAACCATGCAAAAAGGGTCATGGAAACTCCAGGTACATGATTTGAAAGGGTTGTGGGCTAGTTTAAGGCCATATTTAGTCATGATCTTTAGTGGCAAACTACTAGTAGTTGGTTAGCCCCTTACGATACCCAGAATGGTCACCGGTTCCATGCGAACATGCGGATTTCTGGTTGAGTCCCTAACAGGGTGGGGCGCTGCCTACTTTGGGCGTTCCCGGACAGAGGTCCATGCATGGCTGGATTGGATGATTCCTAGAGTAGGCAGCAGGGGAACTCTGCAGTCTCCCGTGGCTGGGTTTTGCAAGACTTGGGAGACTTCGCGCCAGAAGTGCAGCTTGCCTGCTTGGTGGGGGCCCTCTACTTCCCTTGCTCCAAAAAGACTCTAGCGGTACCTTCCCCATTTTTTCCAGGAACCCTTCTTTCTAGAAAACCTTCAGAAATTCAGGGAAACGGCTGGGTATTGAAAAGAACGATGGTTGAAAAGAATGGGGAATCAACCATTAGAAAGATGCGAAACAAGATGCTGGGGACGGACGAAATCCGTTCGCACCACCTAAGAAACCACGAATCCGCATATCTTGCTTGAAGAGGGAAGGGCTCCCAAAAGACAGATGGGTCGTGGGTGTCCTTTTGTATCCCTTTGCCAACCAAAAAGGAGCACCCTCAAAAAAAGACACACTCATGTCCCACAATCCACCTGATTCGCAAAGGGATCCTCTCAAACCTGGTACACAAATGGTCTACCCAGAACCATGCAAAGAGCTACCAAGGCGGCTGCACCGATTTATAGTTGGGAGTGTCCCTTACTGACCGTGGCTTTGATTGTTGCTCATATGGTATGTGCTGGTGGTCGACGTAGCCAAAACGTAAATCCTTTTGCCCCCCTGTAAACCCTGGCCTTCCCCACATCCGGCATCCGGCCTCGCACGTGTTCCCAACCTCCGCGACGCCCTTCTGGTAGAAGCCATCCTCACATGTGGACCGACCTCAGCCAAAGCCACGCGGCAACCACAATCAAAGAGTCTCGCCCGCACGCCACCTCACAAGAAAAAAGTCTTAGTTGAATTTACAGGCAAACCAGCACAATAACTGCACCCTACGGTGTTGCTTACAAATGAACGAAAAGGACACATACGTTTTTTGAGGGGTCTCCCCTTGTGGAGAAACACCCTTGCTGGGTTCATGACAATTCCCCGACCAATAAGCAATGCCTACAACAGAAACTTTCAAGGGTGGGGTTGGAAATTAAACCTCTTTCAACTTGCTGGCTCAGTAGGCAGGGAACGACAAATGGAATGACCCCAAGAAATCATCCCCTGTGCTTTCCTTTAATCTGGAATCCCCTTCACCCGGAAGGTCATTCCCTACCTATCGCACCAGCAAGTCAAAATCGCTACGTTTTTTCGCCTGGACAATTCTGCTGGTTGATGTGGGCAATCCCGGTAATTGGAGCCATTCCGAAGACTCACGTTGCAAAGGGGGACTCTGCATAAAATTAATATGTCACCAACATCGTAGGTTTTTGGGGGTAGCGAGTGTGGAGAAGAAAAAAAACGCCTCTCAAAGCATCCGGGCGTGGCAAACTCGTTTTGCGCACCGATCTCGGTGGTTTTGTTTGCTAAAAATTAAAATGAATAATAATAATAATAATAAAACCAAAAAAAAAAAAAACGTCTTCGGGCGGTTTTCATCAGGCATGGCCGCCCTGCCATGGAGAAAGCTTGAATCTAATCTAGCTGAGATGAAAGTGGGGCACTGATTGAAGCTCAGTTCCCCCTAAAGGGAACCCAGAAAATAAACGGCGATCAGCTTTTAGGATTCTGACCAATGGACCGAAGCTGGAAAGCCAAAGGTCAAAAGGTGGCCTGCGGGCAAGTGAGAAAGAGATGAAAGGGAAATCTTGATGCATGTCTTCGGAAAATTTAGCAGGAGGAAGTCAGGAAAGCCATCAAAGCTGGGGGGAACCTCCTGTTCACGCTGCAAAGAGGCAAGAGTCGATGTCAGCCCCGAAGTAATCGAGTCAGGCTTCCACTTTTTGACTACCCCAGGGGAGACGGAAACCCAGGGGTGGGTCATTACCCCAAATGGGGAACTACTGGGTTTAAGTCTATCTTGGGGTAGTCAAAAAGTGGAACCCCCCAGACTGACTCTTGGTTCTGTTGCTGCTGTTCTTCCGAGGCGATTGGTTGCGCGGCGCATTCCCTATTGGAAAAGTGTCAACCAAAAATGGTGAATCACAGTGGCTCCCCTTATCATCCCTACTTGCAATTTTTGTCGGTACCCGTTTGTAGCTTGAAAGGGAACCAAACGGAAAACCACAATTTTGGCACCCTATTTCGCACGCGCAACCCCCCTTCCATCGGGAAACGGCTTAAGGAAGGTTCTGGCCAGGTTGGCTTTTTTCCCACTTAACCGCAATCCCCTAAGCACAGTAGCAGGAAGGTCCCTCGTAGGGCTTTAAACACGAAGTGGCTGTGGCTCAGAAGCATGTACTCAAAATGGCACCTTGGCAAATGGAACCAAAGACTAAAACCTGCGGTTTGCCCTAGCTCTGACAAACTTTGAGCCACACCCTGATCAATCCTTCTAAGGTTGGCCCCGTATGAATAATAAACCTCCACCTTTTTGAAGGCACCTGGACCGGCTAATAGTGAGAGTACCAATAAGTGTCCTGATTGATGAGAGCACCCATACCCGCAGAACATGGCCCGAGGGCGCGGCACATGTAGTCCACTCGGGAGAGGTAGGTGTGCTGCTGGCATTCGCTGCAGGTCTCCCGACCCGAGCACTTGCCTGCGCTTGAGAAAGCTCCGATTCGGCCGAGAAAAAAAAAAAAGAACGGAGCAAAGCCCAGCGAGCCTCTCCCCCCAAAAACCAAAAACGAGACCCAAGCCGGTTTACCAAAATGAGGCCCAGTTAAGGAGTGGCAGGTTCTGACCGGAGAACCCAGATGCGACTCGCCCTTTGCGGCGAGTCCTCTCGCAAACGTTAAGCACGGAGAACCTGCACGGCATCTCTTTCCAGCGGCTCAAAGGCTTGCTGGGTGGAAGCTGAGCTGAGTGAAATGCAAAGCCCCAAGGCAGAAGATCCAGGGGCCATGCTGGATATCCAACTGAAAAAACCGGCTCCATGCCAGAGGAAGCTCGCGTTTGTCCCAAAGATGAATGGAAGGGACTTGGAGTCTAAGGTTGACCCCCAGACCAGTCTGTCCGGTGATTGCTAGAGGTGGTGTGTCCACCACATGCAGCCACAAGTAAAACGTCCACGAGTTGAAAGTTGAAGCAGACATGGCTCAAAAAAGTGTTTGAACACCTTTCGCTTGGACCGAACAAGCCTTGAACCTTTCGTGTAAGAACATATAAATGTGTCCCTTTTTATGGGACCCTTCAAAAATGGCTGGTTTCCTTTTGGGTCCCTTTCAAACTCATCAAAAAGAGACCTCTCAAGCAAAAGATGGAAAAATCATATGGGGGCATAACCTATGCCTCCATTTTGCGGCGGATGAACACCCATGTACCACCTTTGATGTTCACCAGGGGTTTCCTGGGTTTTGACCCACAGCCATATCTACTTGTTCTGTCACCAGCAATGAGTCTCGCGACGTTTGGTGTGTTGACTGGCACAAGCCCTCAGCTGAGCTGCTGCAGGTCTCATAGCACTCGGTGCAGACACCCCCGGTGTCCTACGGGCGAGTGGAACGGGTCCATAAAGCTCGAGAGAAAGCGGCTTGGAGGCGGCGAATCCGTGGATATACCCCTCTAGGGATAATAAAAGAGTAGTAAAGGACTACCAAAAAAGAACCAAGAGGGGGCCTGGAACAGGTGAAATCCAGGTAAAAAGCACATCATTTCTGAGCATCAACTCATCGAGGTTTGCCTCTCAAGCGGAATCAGCTTCTCTCCAATCGTCCCGCTGGCTGTGGGGTGGCTTCCCTTTTACCTGCAAAAGCCACGGCCTCGAATCCGAGTCCAAACCATCAATCCAAACCACCAACAAGGGTTGCCAAAGGGTGGGTCCGCTTGAAAAACCGTCTAGCTTTAAGATACCTTCTTCGGCATTTTGCCCTGTTAAGGCGTCATGTCACGTCCGCTCTGGATTTGTTGGTACCCCCCTCAACAATGGAAAGTCCTGTTCCCCCATGTTGATAGAGATACATTCAATCAATGATCACCCAAATCATCCCCTCAAGAGGAAACTCAAACCTGGACCTTCTCCCCAAACTTGTTTCCAGAAGATCTTAGTGAGTAGATCGCACAATTCCCTCGCGCGGAAGCAAATGTGGCTTATCCAAACTGAGGGAAAAGCGCCATCTTTCAGACGGAGTGGGGCGAGCCACCAGTGAGATGTCAAACTTGTGGCATCGCTAACCCCCCGAATCCCCCGAATCCAACCACCTGAGAACCGGGCGGTTTCCTTTTAGAGCCTGGTGGAAGCCCCCCTTCAGCCCGCGGCTTGGGACCCAGGGTCTTTGAACATGGCGGAGAAAAAAGAAGAAAAAAACATATCGCCGGTTGTAAGTTTCGCAATTAAAATCCATGCTAACCAGCCGATCGGGGCCAAATCAACACATATATGATATATGTCTCCTATGACCCCCATTCCATTCCAATCATTCGGCCCTTAGCGAAGTCCTTTGAAGCCGCTGGGACGGTCGCACGGGGACCCGGCGGGGTCTCCGCGGTCCTCGGTGGCACCACTGTCGTCCTTGTAGTACCCGTCATCGCAGGAGTCCAGGCAGGTGCGGTTGGGCAAGAGGTAGGCGCCTCTTTCGAGAAAATTGAACGTGCTGGTTCAACTGGCCCCGTTATGCTGTCGCCTGAGAAACCTTAAAAAAATATTATCCTGTAAATGCCAACAAAAAATGATTTCCCGTGGTTTGTTAGGCGGTGCAGGATATTCTCCATCCACAGTATCAAAGTAGTGGAAGGTTTAATAGGTTGAAGGCAAACAACCCCAGTTTCTGACTTTGATAATCCCTCAGAAACAGTCAACATGATGATGGCAGTTCGAATCGCTGGTCTTCACGGGCTGGGTATTTGGGCAATGTTTCTGATGCAAACGGCTGCTTCAGACTGAGGTTGTGCATGTGGTGCATCAAAGGCTTGGATCATGCTCTGGAATCGTTGGACACACCGTAGTGTGCGATCGAAGGCTTGGGCAGATGCTGAAGAAGGCACCGCCGCCACTCGTGCGGGCCCCGACAACCTCAGGCCAGCCCTTCGGCGAGCTTCTTGCCACATCGACAAATCCCGCGGCTTGTCGTCGTCAACCTTCAGCGACACCAGCGCACAGGCTGAGTGCAAATTCGCCAGAACTCCGGTCCGAAAGACTATCGGCTGGGCTATCCGTGGTGGCACGGCTCCGGTTCGGAACTTCCTCCAGGCCTCCGCCCAAGGTGCCTCTGCACTCTGCGCCAGGGAATACTACCCCAGCCGCATCGATCGGACAAAACCAGGGGCTTCCTAGCCAGGGAGGTCCTTTTTGACACCTGTTTGGGACCGCTTTTTTTGGCATATGGATGCTTTTAGGTGGGCCATACATTTTGCCCAAGAAGGACTCGCCGAAAGAGTTTCGACCCATTCCACAGCAGGCCAGGGAGATTGGGTCCAGGCAGGTCGAACGAGCTCACCAAACAACTCTTGATCTGAGCCCTTATATACCCTTTCTGTTTGTACTTGTAGCATCTGGAACCCGATCGTCACAAGGGGAGACATTACAACGAAAAGGATTTGCTACCCAACGTGGTTTGGCCAGTGCTTACGTTTTCTGATTCGGACAAAACCCTACACTGGCACCGATGTTCTCATCGTGGATCTTACGCATCCACTGTCAAAGCCAATTTGGAGGGGAAAGGCCCTGGTGTTATTTTGCGAAATGTGCAAACACGTGTGTACCTTTTACCATATTGAACACTGGCTGGATCGCATCAAGAAGGTGATGCTGCCATGTCATTTTGGCTGGCATGTGGCATCTTGGCATCAGCTCTGGAACCTGAACATGGGCTCAGAGGCTTGAACCTTAACTTGTGTTGCAGGAGAAAAAAGAAGAACAAAAACACCAATTTTCAGTGAACCAGCCACGGATGGCTTGTACTTGTGCCGCGGGCTGGCGCTGAATTCCTATCTGCCCAACAACCATCTCTATCTGAATGTCACTTGCTCATCCCACGGCAAATCACAGTAGCCTACATCCGCACTGCTAAAATCACGGGGTCACCAGGTTCAAGCCGTGGGCCCTGTGCCCGAAAATTCTCCGACTGCCATGTGGAAAATAGCCCGATCTGTGATAACGTGAGCCATCCAAGACCTGCATACCACGCTTCAAGGCATTTCTCTGATATCACAACAATGTCCAACTGACTGGGGCCGTTGTTTGGGCCTAATACTAAAAATGGGTGTGAGATGTGAGACTTGGAGGCTCATGTGGACGCAAACAAGATCGAAGTGAGATTTCGGCCTTGCACGCCGCTTCGGCCAAACCTCTTGACGCTCCATGTGTGGTCCGCACTAAGAAAAATTGGCCTTGCATTTGTTCTGGAGACAAGGAAAACCAAGAAGTGAGCGGTATCCCCAAGACAGGTTGCATCTCAAGCGGAACTGTTGGAGCTGATCCGGAACCGGAGCGAAACCAAAAAACTGGGGGCCAGTTTAAAGGAACAGCTGCTCAAACCGGGGAAACCCGGACCAAAAAAAGCTAAGCAAAAAACCGCTTCCCTTCCAGTGACGCAGGTCTGCCTTTCGTTCTTTCGTCCCCCAAAAAAGGGGGCAGAAGGGTCCACGGGAACACCACGGTCCACGGATGTCGCCGAAGACCCAGCCTGGCTCGCAGACGTCGCAGATGTACCAGTCCGAGCAGGTGCGGCACTTGGGCGGGCAAGGCCAACAGGTGCCGCCTGCGGAGTCAGCTGCGTCGCTTCACAGGAAAATCGAACCCCCGAGAAATGGAAATGGACAGGGCCTTCGTTTTGCAAAACACGCTTCAAAACATTAGACAAAAAGAACGGGGACCAACTAAAAAAGAAGGATCAGACCCAAACCTCCCATGAAAACCAGGGAAATGTGATCGACTGGCATCGTCAGAACATGTTCGGCCGTGCCAAAGGAAAGGACACCGTTGGAGGAGAATATGGATGTCTTTGCTACATGGACACCCCCACTAAACCCAACTACAACGCTACAAGCCAAGGGGACGGCTGGAACCTAAGATTGGCTTTTGGTGGATCCCCCCGGAACGATGCTTGAGTTGTGGGCCCTTTTTCAGGTGTGTGGCTCCCTTTAAACCCAGCTGAAAAGGCTACCCTCAAAAACACAGAGAGAGAGAGAGAGACAAAGAGAGAGAGAGAGAGACAATTGTCCTTGCTAAACAGGGTTCCTTAAAGGATACATCCAGACAACAACACCTGCTTTTCAAGGATTTGGTTGCTCTAAATCAGCTTGTATCGGTGTGATTTGTTCACTGGCTGGTGTCCTTTAAGAGACCCTGTTCGACAGATGGAAGGCGATTCGGCTCCCTGAATGTCCATAAAGATGTCCATGATTACGTAAACCATTTTTGCAACCCAAGCGGGGCGATAAGTTGCTTCTTGGTGTGGTTGATCTTGGGAAAGCCCGCCAATGGAGGGGGGCCTCTAAAATAGTGTTGCCAAACATGGTTGGTTTCCTTTTGGCTTTCCTTGAAATGACTTCAAAGACCAACCAAGACAGGCATCTCTGGATCCCCGTCAAAAGTTGTTCAATTTTGCTGGTCAGTGAAACTTTTGGAGGTTCCAAAAAGGGAAACAGAGGAAACCCACTTTGTCATCTTTACATCTTTACGCGCCCACACCCTCGTGAAAACGGGTCTCCCTTGTGGCTTCGCTTTAAAACCACCAAGAAAGGGATACCCCAAAAACAAAGACAGACCCAAATTCTTTAGTTTTCTGTACGAGTATTAAAAAACTAAGCTATTATCAACATTAGAATGTTTTGCTAAATTGCTATCATAAAATAATTGAACAAGGGCATCCTCGACGTCGCCTTCCGGCGCGCGCGCGCATGCGCCTGTGGAGTCTTCCCCGTGCTTCTGATACCCCGGAGGGCAGCTCACGCCACAGGATCCTACGAGAAGGATCGATCGCACTTTGGCTCCGAAAAGCCTTGAAGCGAGAACCCACCCATAATGCTCCATCATTTCTTGGCTCAAACCGAGAAGTATACAGAATGTTCGGCTGATTTTGCCTTGGAGACCCCCCAGAATTCGAGACAAGCATGTCCGGTCAGTTCGGGACCCGCTGGTGGACATCTTTTATTGTGTGTGTCTGCGTATGTTGTTTGTTGAGTACCCTTCTTGGAGGATGGTCTAAAGGGAAACCAATTGTTGGCTTCCTTTACCACAAAAAAGGAGCAGCCTCAAAAAAGACACACCCATGTCCGGCCACCGATGTGAGGGTGTTCCCTCTGAAAGATCGTGTCCCACACGGGCACTCAATCAACGTTGGCAACAGAACGGTAGTTTAAGCCCCCAAAGCGTTTTACAACCCGTAGAAGGCGGGAATAGCGCTAAGCATGGGGCATCCATTTGAGAAAAAACAAATGATTCTCACTTTCGGTAGCTCGTGGATTTCTGGTCAACTGGCCCATTTTCGCTCATTTGTTCGTTCCCAAAAGCCAGCCGGAAAAGGTCATCGAATAGGTCGCCCAAAAGCAAAGCAAACCAGAAAACCAGGTAAAAAGGAAACCGGATCCGCAAGGCGAGGAACAACTGAGGGTTTTTTGCATCACATCCGGCCCAAACTTGGCATTCCGCCCCATGAATATGTTTTGAGGGTATCCTATTCAGGAAGGTTTCAAGGGAAAGAAAACTGAAATCCATGTTGGGGGTCCCCTTTTCCAAAGACGTCAAACAATTTGAGTTTGGCGTTGGGGTTTCAGTTTCACACCAAGCGTGGACACGAGGCCAAAATCAAGAACCTCCTTGGGTGGTTGTTTAAAGTTTAAAGGGAAACCGAAGAATCCCACCCTCGAGTTATGTTTCTTGTCAGCAGGAGAGAATGACCCCGATTTAACCCATCGCCTATGGTTTCCTTTCTTCGGGAATCCCCTTCCGGTTCATTCCCAACACCCAGCAAGACTAACCCCAGGCCGACGCCCGGTCAACGCCCTGGTAGGTCGTCAGTGGTCACAAGGAGCACAATGAGCATGGTGCAAAATAGGAATTATGATTCCCAAAAATGGATCTTGGTAGTTTGCTTTCTGGCTCTCCCTTGAAGCCAAGCTGAGCAAGGGGCCTTCAAAAGACGCACCCATAGAATGCTTCCAGGAACCAGGTTCCGTTTGAATGGAGTAGAAGTGAAGGATTCCTGCTTGGGAATTCAAGCATCTTTTTACTCACGGAAAGAAGCCAATCAAATACCCCTCATGCCGCCCGTCTGAATAGCACCCCAAATGCCTCAGGTGAGACGGTCGGATGGTCAGACAGACTCTATTGATTTGGGTATGGGTCAAAGTTAAACCACCAGGAATTGGACCGCAGGTTTTTGTCCATGTTTCCATGTACCAGGGCAACCCGTTTTCGGGTTACCCTAGTTTTCACAACCACAGCCATGCGAAACTGGCCCAAGTCTAAAAAGCCCCCCCTCCTCACAGGCTCCCAATTCCAATCATGAAAAGGGGGCAAGGAGGCTATGGGGTATCCCTCCGCCTTCAGAGTTCATTGGCAATAGACCGCCAACTGCCCCCCACTCAGGCACTGCCATAGGAAGGGCTCCTGTCGGTGACAGGTGCTTGTTGTTTTTGCACTGCACCTCAGGTTGCGTCTTCGAGTCCATTTAAATCAGAGGCGGAAAATGGGGGATCAAAGACAATCCTGTGGATGTGTATCAACGGTGAGGCAAGTTCATCAAGGAAAACCAAAGGGCACTAGAATTTCAGAAGCGACCTCAGGATTAATTCAGCTGAAGTTCAATTGCTTGGGACTTGGTTCAGCACATCATGCGCCGAAAAAAGTAAACTAACGTGCCCATGTTGCTTTGCTGTTGTTCAGCTTCGCAGCAACCATTCAGTAAAACCGCGTGGACGGCTATCGCAATGAAAAGCCACTACCCCTCAAAAACTGGCGCGAAACCCAAAACAATCATGATGTGTAGAGGAAATTCATTTTGCAGAAGCCCTTTTTTGGGGCTCCATTGAATTTGCAGGGGACTCTGTACAAGGGTTTCCCCCTTGCAAAGAAAGATAGGAAGGGGCCGTGCCAATGGCCCATGCCATCTTCCACAGAACCTCCCACCCTCAGTTTACCCTCAACTCATTGCAAGATAACTGCGACAACCTCTCCAAAGTTGCTCTCCAGCCTAAGAATCAGATAGAAAAAGATTGAGAACCTTGAGAAATATTCGGATGTTCCCAACATTGGAAACTCCCCCACCATAACTGACTGGTGTCCTTACGGTTTCTGTTAAACT